GAATTAAAAGATACTGTTTAAGAATGGAAGAAACCACTTGATCACCTACCAAAAGACATCACATTCCACTCTGCTGCTTATGTGCAGAAATCAATAACACCTTTTACTATAGCATATTTTCTACAAAGACCCAAGCCTTGTGTCAAATGCACCAGAAGAAACATACTTCTCTGGGTAGAATAACTCCAACTGCTGATTAACTCTTGCCTGTCTTTAGATTACAGCTATTTGTTTACTTTTTCTTTCCTTTATTTAATTTCTGTCTTCTGAAATGAAATGCTCAGAATGACTAGCCCAAACGAAAGCTAGAATTGTATCTTAACAGACAATACTGTCAGTGCATTAAAAAAAAAAAAATTAAAAAAAAGGATCTTTAAGCAAATCACTTCTCTATCTTATTTTTGATAAACTATGCTAAAGGAGCCCTGATGGTGCCTTTATAAGGACTTCACTGCCAATCTCCAAGATTAATTCTTCTCTGCTTGCTTTCTGAATTCTCTATGTCTCCCTACACTCTTTCAAACTTAAAAATGTGGATAAAAGGGTTTTACTATTATTGTAGCATCAGTCTCATCAATTTTGAATGAATAGTCAAAATCACCTCTTTGCATCATTTTGTACATTAAGTTCAAATAAAAATTACCTTAGTGGTCTTAAAAAGCTTCTCTACCAGGATCAGCAGATAACTCAGAGTCAGTTTTCCAGGATGTTAGTCCCCATTACACAGACATGCCTAGCATTTGGCTTCATTAGAATAACCTTTACTTAGAATGGATTCAGCTTTTCATCTGATCTCACTCAGTCCTTAGGAGTGGTCTTACATATCACATTTCAGCACTTGTCTTATTTTTTCATCAGCAAAGTTATGTTTACTTCAGTGTCACTCATGAAGATAATTAAAAGGCAGAGTTGAAACCCAGGTGAAATTCACAAAAGCTCTTCATTTTGATGTTTCACTGTTAATGACTGCTTTTTTTCAGCTAAAATTTCTTAGTAAATTACCTTTTAGATCAGCTTTAGGAGTATGGTAAATTGTTGATCTCACCAATCCTAACAGGAGCAATGTCACATTTGGTCCAGTGTGGTTCAAAATGGCTAACAACAGCTGCTCCAGAGAAAGGATTAAGCAGTGTTAAAAAGTAGTTATGCACCAAACTGCTTCCATACCCACACTTTCAGAAGTTAACTTATCCAAGAAGTTCAAAGGCATATAAGCTTTAATAACACTTCTGTTACTATAGGTGTTCATATGATACATACATTAATAACCATTCCTTGGCTTTTTTTTAAACACATTGCAATCCTCTTAGTCTTGGTAACATTTTATGGCAAGAAATTTCAAATGTTTTGTACTACTGTGTGCAAAAATATAATGAATCAATTTTGAATTTTCTACAGTTTAGTTCCACTATACCTCAGGGGTTTCAGCTGTAGTTTACTGCCAGAAGGGACTAGATCCAAAGTTGGTATCTCCTAGAAATTTCTAACACAATAAATGCTACAAAATGAAAGAATTTGGCTCTTCAGAAAAACATCTGGTATTTTAATTCAACAATTAAAATTGTTGAAATTAAAAATTTGAATTTGAAATTGTTAAAATTGTCCCTGAAGGAGCCAATGAAACCACTCACTAGCCTATTACCTGCTTTTGCATATGTTCAGATTATTTTGTCATTATCCATGGTTAGCTACTCATCTCTTGGACTTGGTCTTAGCTCTCCTGATTATTTCTGTATATATACTGCCTGCTGTGGATAATGATAATTTTATTTGCCTCCATAGACTTGGTGTCTCCATTTTCTCTAGACTATTTGGCTTCAGTTGTCTTGTCACTGCAAGCTCAGTCTAACCATTTTTCTGTATGGTCTGTATACATCTACAAAACAAAAACTATCTCTCATGTGTTCCAACTGTGCAGGAATTATAATGCATGACTGTATTATAAATATGCATGTACTATGTCTGCACACACAGTTAACCATGACTTAAAACTAAAATTTTAACTGTTGTCACAAAAACAGGAGTTTTAGTCTAAGGATTTTTTAAATTGGAATAAAACTGGAAATTTTGAGAAAACCATCCACAAAGGAAACAAACCACTAGGTATTACAGTGTGCTTTTCATCTTTAAAATTACCGATATTAAAACTGTTGCAATTAATTTAATTAATTGACTGCTACCTACCTCTAACATTTGCATTTAGAAATTTTCAAATAATTGAGTTTATTTCAAATTATTTTCATTGCTGACCTTAAGCAGCAGCCAAGCACCAAAGAGCTGCTCACCCATACTACCCCTTCGCCAGCAGGATGCGGAAGAGAATAGGAAAAGAGAAAGTGAGAAAAATCATGTGTCAGAATACAGGCAGTTTAAGCAGTAAAGGAAAAAGAAAGAAGAATAAACGCAAAACAAACAAACCAACTGAAAACCAAAGATATTCAACCCAGATAATGCAAAGGCAATCACTCACCACCTCCCACAGGCAGACATGCTCAGCCACTGGTAGCAACAGCTACCTCCTCAAAAAAGCTTTTATTGACAAGTATGGCACTCTGACGTTGAATAACTCTCTGGTAAATTTAGCTCATCTGTCCAGGTCGTGTCACCTCACACCCTCACATCCTCAGCTTAGAGCAGGGAAGTGGGAAAAGAGAGAGCCTTGGTACCACAAATACTAATCAGTGATAGCCAAAACACTGGTGTGTTATCAACACTGTTTCAGTCACAAATCCAAAACACAGCACTGTGGAGGACTGCTATGAAGAAATTTAACTTAATTTCAATCAGATGCAATACACTAAAACACTGTAAAACATAACTAGAAATTATCTCAGCTCAGAGTTCAGTGATATACTGTCATATTTTGCTGAAATAACGTCTCTTGCATGTTTTTGTCGTTGGTTGTCAACCTAAATTCTGTGCTGATTTTCTGCCATTTTATTTAAGAGACATACATACCTCTGCTACACCTCCTAGTCCTAATCTCTTAGATATTAGACAACATTTTGGTTTCTGCACAATCCTGACACCTCAAGGGCTCAGAAGCAGTAAAGGATATGCAGCACTCCTGCTTGAGCTCAGATCTGTGCTTTTTGAAAGCATCTCTCTAGTCCAAATTCTTTTACAAATCAAATACCAGCATCCTGTGATCTCTTCAATAATCCCAGCTGCTTGCTCTAGGGGGTTTTGAAAATTCATTTGACTACTTTGACAACAGAAAGTTTGACTGCCTTTGAACCTGCTTTCAAAGACAAAGTTATACAAGTCAAGCTATTGCCCATAGAGTATTCAGGTTAACTTTGACAATGATGGATACCTTTCATGACCATTTCCCAGATCCCTTACGCCTACACTTCACAATTGTCCTTAATGATGAATGACAGTCATCTGCAATGAATGATAATTTTCAAGTAGTCTCATCCCCAAAGAAATGGCATTATCATCACATATTCTTGCTATAATTTATCAAGCTGAAAAATATAGAGTCTCTGATTACTCAATTCTTTATTAATGTAGTAACTTGAATAAATACTACTTTATACATTTTGAGATGCAGATGGGAAAGTATATCAAGTTCTTAGGTAGAATATACTGTCTTCATTACTTTAGGAACTGTAAATCTTACTCTAATGAAAATGTAATGCGGAGAAGACAAATTGTTACAATTTGAAGCTAGTTCAGATGTCCTAGCTGAGTCTTGAAGAAATAAATTGACTGTTAAAAAATAAGGGATATTTAAAACTGTGTTTTGAATAGAAGTCTCATTCTCACCACTGACAGAAGGGGCAATTTTATTTGCTTAGTGAGGTCATTTTAATTTTTATACACTTACATCTGCACTGATTCAAGAGGGACTGGAATAGTCCAGCAAACAGACCCTTGGAAAAAGTCATCAATTCAAGCTTTCACTTTGTGAGAAAATGTCTCACCTTAGGCCACAATTACTGGCAATGATTACCTATTACTGGCAGATCCAATTGAATTTATCTTAACAAATGAAGAAAGCTTGGCTGAAAATTGTTATTTCTGTCACAGTAACATTAAAGGTCCACAGATCAGGACTTCCCTGTGCCTGTAGTGCCTGTACTTTATAGAAACAAAATGAAAAGTACTGCACATAGAACAAATTGTTTAACATCTAACCAAGGAAAACTGTAATCTAAATGTCAATCTTCAAATAGAAAGAAACATGATAAGTATATGAAAATCCCAGAACCAATGTGAAAACATTCATCTGCTTGATGGGCACTGATATTAGAGAACTTGAGTCTCAGATTTTGTAATGGTATCATCTTATAATCATAAGAGATGATTAGAAGTAATTCTAATAATTACTTCTACTAATAATTATTAGTAATAATAAGAAGTAATTCTTCTTACAAAAAGAATTTTTAAATGAGAAAAATTTTCCTGAGTTTTCAGAAGTGTTCACAAGGACCTCCTCCCAGGCTTGCAAGGCAGATAAAGTACAAAGGGTTTTTCTTTAAAGCTAGATGTAAAAGAACTTAAAATAACATGCCACTTAAGAAGATGAATGATCTCCTACTACAAGGGGAACCAGCTTTTCCTTTTTTTCTTTTGAATTGTACATAGATGAACATGAATTTACTTTTCTAATAGCTTAGAGATTTTATATCTGTGGTATATGTCTGCAATATTTATCCATTTTCAGTATGAGACGAGGATAATTAGTTTCCAGGGACTGGTATGAAGCAGTAAGCAAGTGCCGCTGCAGTGAGAGAATGGTTGTGTGCACATGTACACAGAAGGATGGGAAGATGACTGTGAAGTCATAGGGGTAAATCACAGCAGACATATAAAAAGCTATGACGCTATGACCCAAGGCAGACACACAAAAAAGGAATTACCAGATGGTAGCAAGCAGTATTCTTCATTTGCTTGTGAATTCCTCAACTTTGGGAACTTCATGCATGCTTTCATTTGTATTTTTGATCTTTATAAATCTAGTTGCTTCAGAAGGCACGTCATATTTTACTTACAGACTGATTCAGCAGCATTTGTATGGTCCAGGTGTGCTGCCTCTGGAACACAGGCCATCTTCTCAGAGTCCTGAAGCAGCTTCAGAAAAACCTTTAATGAAAACAGAAAAAAGTCATTTAGAATCCATTTTCTAAAATTATTATTTATATATATGAAATATATCATATATATGCATGTATGTGTGTATATGTGTGTATATATATGTATATAGGTGTGTGTGTGTGTATATATATATATATATGTGTGTGTGTGTATCTCCTAAACCATCCAGACTGTCAGAAATTACTACTGACTGCTGTAACCACCTTGCTGGAATATGACTATAAAATTAGTCAAGCTCTCTGGTGAAAATTTTGGGGATAAGTGAAATGAAATATGTATCAATAGATAGAAAAGCACCTATGCAAAACATTGCTGTCCAATGAACAATACTACCTGCAAAGATTTTTTCAATAGACTGTCTGCTCTTGATCAACTTTTTATGCTCCTAAACCATGGTATATGTTGGAACTCAATTACTTCAGTTTTTAGCAAGGGAACAGCTTAACTCTTCTGATGCTTCAGCTAGAAATCTATGGGCACAACTAGAACTGTCACCAAAGAGTTCTAGTTGTACTAGTACAGCTGAATCTAATGTACAAAATCCTACAGAACTGAGAACCTACAGATTCCGGGGAATTCACTGTGTGAACTAGGGACACGCAGGAAAAGTTCCTAGATATGCGCAAGCACATGAACTATAAGGTTACTGAAAGACATTTAAAGGACAAAGCAATCATCAGAGACAGCCAAGGTGAAAAAAGTCTTGTAAAACTAATACTACAGAGTAGATTGGGCAACAATGTGTGTATTGTAGCAAAACATTAGTGTGCATAACCCAAACTGGGGAGAGATGATAGGATCCTGTTACATAAAATCACCATGAGAAAAACTGAAATAATTTTTTTATTTTTAAAAATATGCACTAGTTTGAAATTGAAAGGATTGAATTTTCTTAAGTAGGGGAACATATGTCAGAAGGGACTTATAGATAAAATTATAAAAACCCAGCAGAATTCACCATCATGAGGTCTATTGAAATGGTATATACACTTTGCCAAACAGCTTTGTGTTCAACCTACTAGTTCTTGCTTAAACCAGTTTCACAGTTCTGTCCACATAAACCCCTTTGAATTTCACAGACATGTATTTAATTTTCCTGTACATCAACCTTGCAGAAGCTTGGAACAACTTTTATAGTGAGCATTATTCACATACTCCCCACTTCTTGTAAGCTCAAACTAAAAACACAATTAACATTTTCTTATCTTAACCTGAACTTCAACTTAAACAGTGATCTAAGAACCTCAGATAAAAAAAAAGAAAATAAAAATTAACAGAAAATACAGGTACTGTGAGCGTCTCTAATTAAACAGAAAAAGAACAACAAAATTTTTCTTTGTCTTGATGAAAGTTTTCTTTTACCTCTCTGTTTGGGTTGAACTGCAGGACAGATTATACCCACAGTGCAACTTTCAGAAATCATTAAGAAACCTTTTATTTCTTCCCATAAAAGAACCTGATATCAGCTATAACAAAAAGTTCCTTGTTTCCAAAGAATTCATACAATACTCAATAACAAACAGTCAATGTGAAGTATTTCATAGATCTTGAAAGATATTTCTTGACTTTCCAAGGTCTGACAGTTACAAAAAACATATTTTACTTAGTCAATATAATTGCCATTTAATAGTGGTTATTGATTACATTTGTTACCTGCCAGCTTTCAGGGAACAATTTTATCCATTAACAATTTCAAGGCCAGAAATTTCTGGCCTGATATTTCTGTATTAGACACTGGAGGCAGATCCTGACAGTCTAAAGCCACATTCTAGTTTGTTTTCTTGGACCTTCTTGCTGATGGCTCTGAACACCAATTCTGTAAAGAAAATCAAAGTAACCTGTAACAACTGAATCGTAGAATCACTGAATGTCCTGGGTTTGAAGGGACCTTTAATATCATCTAGTTTCAACCCTTCAGCCATGGACACCTTCCACTGGACCAAATTCCTCAGAACTACATACAGCCTAGTCTTGAATGCTTTAAAGGATGGGACATCCACAGCTTCTCTGGACAACCAAATACAGTGCCTTACCACTCTCACAAAATAGAATTTCTTGTAAAAGGTCCCTCTCTGTCTCACAGGCTTCTTTCAGGTACTAGAAGGCCAGAATTATGTCACCTCAAAGCCTTCCCCTCTTTCAGCTGAACAATCCTATCTCTCTCAGCCTTTTCTCACAGGAGAGGTCGTCCATCCCTCTGTTCACCTTGGTGGCCTCCTCTGGACTCATTCCAACAGGTCCTTGTCCCTTGTATACTGGGGATCCCAGAGCTGGACCCAGCACTGCAGATGGGGGCTCAACTGAACAGAGCAAAGCAGAGGGGCAGAATCTCCTCCCTCACCCTTGCTGGCCACGCTGCTTTGGGTACAGCTCAGGAGATATTTGGCTTTCTGGACTGTGTCCACTGCTGGGTCATGTCCAGCCTCTCATCCACCAGCACTCCCAAGCCCTTCTGGTCAGGGCTGCTCTCGACCTGTTCATCCCCCAGCCTGTGTTGATACTGGGGGTTGCCCAGACCCAGGTGCAGCAATACCAGTACTTGGTATTGCTCAGCTTCATGAGATTCCCATGGGCCCAATTCTTGATCCTGTCTAGCTCCCTCCAGACAGCATCCTGTCCTTCAGGTGTGTCAACCATTTGGTGAGACCACAAAGTACACCTCTGTGGCTAGGACAATGCCTACACTACAAAACATTGTCTGCACATACTTCAGTGTCAAAATAGCTGCAGACACACTTTCTTATTTCATCTCATTAACTCACTATAGAGACGATGTAGCTATACCTTTAAAAAAAAAGAAACATCCACCAAATACTTTTCTAATACATCTGTCACGACCCACAAGGTGGGATTCGTGATGTGATTCTTTTAGTTGGTCTTAGAGTACAAAAGATTATCAGCAAACCAAGGACTTAAACAGCAAAACACACTTTATTGAGTGCTCATCAACACTAATATGCGATAGAGAGAAAAGAGGAGAAAGCAAAGCATAAGGAAAAGAGAGTAAGGGGATTATAGCTGCCAACGTCGAAGTCCACTTAGCCGTCCATCAACACAGAGTCTTCTGTCTGTTGGGGAGATCTCAAAGGAAGGTAAGTTTGGGGTGTGATTTTATAGTCTTCTACAAAGCGAGGGGCACAAGGCCAAAAACGGGCGATTGATGATCATTGTGATGAATTCCATTACACAGGGGGCAGGTGTAGGGTACAGACCAAACCACGTCTTGCAAGTCCTTGTTCACCAGCAGGAACAAAGGCAATGTGTTGTGGAAACCCATTGTGCAGGATACAATGCACAAGCCTTTGCACACCAGCAGGAACAAGGGCAGTGTACCGTGCAACCACCTGCAAACAATCACTGAGCAAACATCCATCTCAGCTAGGCCCAAACCCCTAAACCAAGTCCCTTGTGATATTCAGGGTCTCTGTCTCTGTCCTTGAGACAGTTGTGAGAGAGATGAAAGAATCTTTGGACCATCACTTACAACATCTTATGCCTATTGTAGCTTCATTGACATGTACTCTGATACAGCTATAAAGGCAGAAAGCTACCTGCATCGCCCAGTCCTCCCCATGGTATCCAGTTTTCAAACATCCTCTTAAGAATGGGAATCATTAGGGACTACACTGTACAGAAGGTATGATAATTTACCTGATGTTGTACCAGATATTGTAGACAGAAGTAGTATTAGCCCAACAATGTTATTAACAGAGTGAGCACCCTCCGAAACACACAGGTATGGAAAAGTCAGGTTTAGGCACCATGACAAAGAAACAGTATATTCTTGTTATATCTAAATGATGGTGTATTCTAGACCTCAGCAGAGCATCCTCCTCCCCACATGCCTTAGCAATTCCTGCTTGCTCAGTTAGTCAGAACATGGTGTTAATAACAGCAAGGTTGTGGGTTCAATCCCCATTATGGATCATTCACTAAAGACCTGGACTTAATGACCATTTTGGGTCCCTTCCAACTCAGAATGTTCTGTGAAATTCTGTAATTCTGTGAAATTCTGTTTAATTTCTGTTTTGACTAGCAAGTCTATATCTGACTTGTCCAGATGGATGTTAAGAAAGACTATGCATCTGGTGTTTCTTTCAAACCACCAAGTTCTCAATAGGTATAGGAAATGCTTTTTTGTCCTTCAGCAAACAAGTATGGCCAAATGACAATACTACAGTGAAAGAAATTAATATGATTGTGCCATCATTAGAAGTTGTTGGAGCACTCTGCATCTCATTAGAAGATGCGCATCATTTCTAGGAGGTATATAGCTTTCCCTGGAAGGTTTTGATACAAACTTTCAAGTCATTTCAAGGAAAGGAATTTAAAAGCAGTACTCAATTAACAAATTTTGACACATCTTATTTTGAAAAGATGTTAAAATCATTTTGTTCTCTCCTCAAAGTAAAGCAAGAAAGCAATAAGCTTTGAAATCTTCAGAGCTACCAGAAAGTGAAACAGCATCCTCCAGAGAACTCTTAGTATATGCTTAATTTATTTAACTACCTGTCTGTTCTCCTTTTGGTTCTACCAACACATTGGATTACAAGTATAAAATACACACATACAAATGGTTGAAAAAGATACATAAAGCCTACATTTGAGCAAATGTAGTATTAATGAGATTTAAAGGTGTCAGAAACTGATTTGTTAGAACTTTAAGATTCCTTTGCAATATGAACAGAAGTCCATTTCCCCTCAGTTAATACAATTTTTAAGGAGTGTTAGTGTCCCTCAGAATGAAAAAAAAATAATGATGAGTGTATAGGAGAACAAAAAGAAAGGATATAAAGAAAATTACAACACATTTCCTCCTTTAAGGCTGGGGTTCTTTGTTTCCAGATTTAATTGCTTGAATAGAATAAATAGTGCTATTATGTGCTATCCTTTTAGTTCCCAATGCAAAAAGGCTTTTGGTAAGAGAATAGAGAATTTTGGTTGTAACGACAATTAATGATATCATACAGAGATGACAGAAATCGACCCAAATTACTGCATTAAATCTTCAAGCTGAAGAATGATACATCAATATGTAATACCACATTTAAAGATGTTTTTAAACTCCCCCTTCACAGAATAGCTAAAAGCAAGCTCTTAACTGAATCACAGATTCATCTCATTGAGGAATCCTCCTCATATCCATGACAACTTTACATTTACTTTATACATGCCTGTTCTGCAAAGTCCTGTGTTATCCCATGCTGATGCAACCCAAAAGTATTCTCAATATATACATTACCTCCAAATCTATAATATTTGGCAATGAACAATATTATTCCTTATACCATATTAATAATCTTATATAAGAAAATAAAAAAACTTTTCAATAAGTTTTTGACTTGCCTCATAAAATCTTATCTCAGGAATGGAATTTTTTTCATAACATCAAATAAAATGTTTATTAAACTTGTAAACTATGTATGATAGGAGACATGATGATAGTCTCCTATCATCACTTGAAGTGAAAAAAGTATTTCTAAAAGATCTTATAGTACAGTACTTGGATAGTGATGGTTTAGGGAATCTTGTTATTTAGAAATTATAGATGGGGTAAAAAGAGTCCAAGAGAACTAACCTCTTGCTGACATGGCTATTTACAAATAGCTAAATTCAGAATGATGAAGATGTATAAAAGAGTCTCTTCCTTTGTGTGTATACATGTACATATATGTGTGCATATATGTTCATATGTACATATATCAAATACTTTCTCTTTTGGTATACACAGAAAATATTCTTTAGATATTTCATCACACAATTTGACTAACTCCTAAGCTTCAGAACTAGTAAGTTGGAAAACATTCTTTGCAAATTTCTTTCTGTCGAAAGAGCCACCTGAGCTGAACCACCAAACTTGAAAGTTCAAAGCTTCTTCCAATGCTATGGGTTTAGGACTCTCATAAAGTCAATGACACATTACATTTCCCTTAAGTTAATGCAGAAATAAACATTTAAGTGTTACATAGTTCATCAGTCTTCACATTTGATTCTTGAAATAAAAAATACGTCATAGTAAAGTGGGCGCTGAAATTAACAGCAGAGTAAAACTACAAAGAATAGATTTTACCTGATTTGGAAGGTTTTGTTTGTCTGCTTGCTTTTTTTTTTACTTTTCTGAAAACATGCTTCTCACAATAAATTGTGCTATATAAAAGATTCTTTAACCAAAAAAATGACATTAGACAGGAAAATTACAAGTACCTCTTCCAAGGTTGTGTCAGAAATACCATAGCCAGTCACATGTAGATACTGAAGGCTTTGATCTAAAGCTTGAAAAAGACCTTTAAAAGCAGTCTTATCTGCCCTTTCTGGGATCACATAGGTCAGCTCAGTCCCACTGTTCTCTTTCAAGAAGGCTTCTGGAATATAGTTCTGTACCAGAGATGTGACCTGAGCAGTGTCTTTGATTTCAAACACAGAGGGCTATGAAGAAAGAAAGATAATCATGGAGAAAAAAAAAAATATTACCAGAAGTATTAGTCTTGATATTAGAATTCATGCAGGAAAAATTCCACTGATGGAACTGCATCACAGCTAGGATACAGAGACTACCTCCCAGGAATAAAGGACAGTGAGATAAGCCCCTTTTCATCTAAATACTGATATTCACCATTTTCAAAGATGCCATTCATCTAAATAGCAATAATAATACCACACACTCAGAACAAACAAGAAAGCCAATATGAACATATTTTCCTGGTTCTCTAATTATCTATGTCACATATTATTTCCTGTCAGGGACATACATCTCCCTTAAAATATACTTGGCAGGCACTCTCCAGTTCAGTACAGTAAACTTTTAACATACCTTTTTTATGAATGTTAGACTGTGTCCCTGGCCATATGTCTCCCTCAGACAAGAGGGAGAGCCACAGCACCTCAGATGACCATGTTGCAGAATGGCAATGTGATCACTGAGCACCTCAGCCTCATCAAGATGGTGAGTGGTAAAGATGAGTGTGCAACCTGCATGAGAAAATTGGTATATGTCTACAAAACCTCTGGTTTCCAGAGAAACCCCTCACAAGGGTCCCTTAGCTTTAAGGAAACATGTTTTCAGGACTCTTCAAAATCTTAATTACAGGCCACAGACAAAATCTGCTATCAGAATTACAAATTAAATTAGATTCACTTCTAAACTTGCTTTGCCCTGTTTTATCCATAGCAAACAGTATTAAGGCTTTAGAACCTCTAGCTGTTTTAAAAACTTAAGAAATTCCTTAAAAAACAACATAACATCAGTGTTTCTTTCAGTAGATCATTCAATGTTAGTTATTACAGCTAATTGAGTGCTCACTAGATGAAGACTTTGCTTCCCACAATCCATTTAAGAAGTAGTGTAGCAGACATTGTTGAGTATATATATATATATATATTATAATTGAGTATGTATATATATATATATTATAATATACACTAGAAGTATATAAGCAGCTATATACAAGTGTATGCAAAATGGGAAATGGAAACCAGAAAGTAGTTTTGAGAAGCTGAAGAGAGGGGAGAAACTTCAAGTCAGGATTTAGAACTAAGCTCAATGATTTTTTTTAGATTGAGCATATTTCTGTAAAATAGCAGATAATTCTTGTAATGCCATTTGACTCGCCTTAAAAATACCCAGTTCAGCTTAATGTTTCCTCAGAAATTAATGTATTTAGCTTCTAATAATATTTTGACTACACTTTGACTATCCAGTTTAAATTTATTGGGAAGGAAAAAAAAAAAAAACCAGAAAAGAAAATAAGAAGCAAATTATGCGCATAAACTTTGTACCGGCTTTGTACTTCAGAATAACATCCCAGATACTACGGCGAGAACATGGGTCTACTCCGGTGGTGGGCTCATCCAGGACAACTGTCTTTGAGTTTCCAATAAAGGAAATGGCAACTGACAGCCTCCTTTTCATTCCCCCAGAAAGGGTTCCAACAGGTTCGTGCTGATGTTGGGATAAACCCACATCTTCCAGAGCTCTGAAATAGGAGTACAGAAACAGGACCAATTTTGAAAATGTTTTTCTAGTCACATTCTGTCCACTCAGAGAACTACTGAAAAGTCACTGTAAATGGAAAGTGATAAAATCACTAACTCTGACTGATTATATACTTTGGTGTCAAAAACAAATAGGAAAATAAATATTTGTACCTACAAAGCATAAATGCTTGCCATCATCAGATGCACAGATTCTAAATAAGTATTGTAAAGAAAATTTTAAATTAAAGCTAATAAAACAAATACTAGTTTGTCCAACAACTTCAGTGAACTCCAGATTATAGCCCCTTTAAACAATGATAAAGACTGCTGGTTTCATAACTCAAGCAGTGCTTCAGGTTTTGCAAACTACTTAAAGAACACTGGAAATGCCTGAGATTTTAGGAAATGTGTAGTCATTTGCAGTAAAGAAGGTAACACCACTCTTTTTTTTTGCTTTTTGAAGACATTTATTTGTAAAACAAACTGATTAGCAATCCCTGAGTAGAATAATACTATCTAATCAAATCTAAAATAATTCCTGTGTGTTAAGGACTGGGAGACATCTTATAGATGTTTCCAATTCAGCTCTTGCCCTCTGATGCGGATCTTGCATCTGAGCATGGTATGGAAACATGATTAATAAAGGCAATATTATAAGGCCTTTAAATTACTTTTCATCACACTGAGCATCCAATCACTGACCTAAGAGCTTTCAGCTACGATCAGCTTGGTAAGAAATACATGGAAGGCTCAACAGTCTTAAGGTAAACTCCTGAATCATTCGGTAAACATGCAGCCTTGTAAACCATGTCATTTACTGGAGAGAATTTCTCATTTTTAAGAAAACTGGTTTCAATAGCAGTTCTATAGCTATATAATGAAGAAAATTATTCTTAATCTCTTTAGAAGCCCACTTTTTTTTAATAAAAAGCTTTTGTTTCATTATTTTTTCTTTTCTAATTTCTCTGAAGTCTTTTAAAGCATTTGTTGCCTTTAAAAATATTTTTTCTTAGTAGCAAGGCCTGCAGAGTTCTGACTGTTCTTGTTAGTTCCATTAGTATGACAGACTGCTGCTAGAATTACAATTCAGAAGTCTACGTACCATAAGATACAGAATATTATTTTGCATCAATTTTAAAACATTTACTAAGCTCGTTCTGTCTCTGTAGTTCTAGAGAATTCCTTCTGTTGTTTCTGGGGAGAACATAGTGCCCCACACCTGAGTTTGTTCAGATCAAAATTTAAAAGTAACAGGCTTTTATGATAGCTACCAAAAAAGGAAAGCCACTTTACCACAAATGCCTCTGCATATGCCTGATTGTACACTTAGGGAGAAGTCCCATCAACTTGACGTTTCCCTGGAAGCATGGAGATACTCAGCCCTTCACAGAGTCTAGTATGACTTCAGAAGGTAAACAAAAACTATTTACACTGCCTCACTGTTTGAAAAGCATGTCTTTTACTCCTGAGTAGAATAAATGCAGTTTGCTATTAATGAACCAGATTTCAGCTTGTACAGTTTACTAGTTAGTTTAACATACAGTAGGCAAAAATAAGATCTATTCCTATAGCAAAGAAGTATCAGCACAAAAACACTAGCAAATGTCTTTAACCTGACAAACGGCAAATCCTCTGACTTCATTTCAGAACTCTTGTTTTTCCTATTGGATTTTTAATTTTTAAACCTCTTCATTTGTTAAAAACATTTGAAGGCTGAATTTGGCAAAGGAAAATGAGGTGGCCTATTTAAAAAATTGTAACAAGTACTGCCTTTGCCTGGATTTTCTGGTTTTCTAACCTTCCTTCCACTGCAGGTAGAGGGAATGGAGGATAATTAATACATAAATACATTTTGTTGATTTATCTAAAAATTCATGGCAAGCACAGCAGTTGTTTTTCCATCTGCTCTTCCAGCAAGGATAGAGGTAAGACACAGAGCAGGAGGTGGAACCCCTGCTATTTCTACAAGGCTAACCACTTCCACTCCAGTGAAAACATCATTATTTGATGGTTCTGTATACCAGATTTTTAAACATTGACAGTTCCACTAGAAATATATTCCTAGTTAGAAATAGGAAACTTACTTTCAAGCCATGATTTCAGAACATGAAATATGATAAAAACTCTCAAAACCCTGCAGTTTCCATTGGTTTTTTCTTGCAAGTTTTGCATTTTCTCTTTTTACTTGAGTGGCTTGCACTAGTCATTATCAATTTACTTGACAGATTTCAAGAAATGGAAGGAAAGCTTACCCACTGACTTGCTCATTCAACTGTTCTTTTGTCCACCTAGGTGCCTTCACTGACCCATAAAGCAGGAGATGTTCTCGCACAGTCAGTGTGTTGAATAGGACATCATACTGGAGGCAAACACCCAGCTCTGTCCTGATGGCAGCCAGCTCAGTCCGTATATCCTTCCCATCAACAATAATGGTACCAGAGCTCGGCGGATACAGACCAGTCAACAAGGATCTTATATAAGAAAAGAAAAAAACATTCAGCAAGGTAACATGCAATTAGCTGATCACTTAGATATCCTGAGGCAGGTTCTAGCATCCTTAGAGCAACATCAATTCAGTTGAGTATAGTTATAGAAACATCACTAATATTTTGGGGTTGGTGTAGCTATTTTTTGCTTTTGGTGGCTTTTTGGGTTTGGTGGGCTTTTTTGGTTGATTGGTTTGTTGATGGGTTTTTTGTTTTGTGTTTTGAACATGATATCAAGAGTTCTTAATTTCCCTTCTTCCAGAACAAAATCAATTTATTTTCCCAACCAAATCTTGTTGTAATTGCATTTAGAAAAATGGTATAACCCAAGCTGTACCCCCAAAATATAGAATGTAAGCTTCTCCCCCCTTATCTCTTTCTTCCCAGTTCTCTTTATTGGCTGTGTGAATGCAATCCACCCTCTTTCCCCTGCCTTCAAAAAGACGTGTGTTATCAATATTCTTCCTCTTTCCCTCCTGCTCTCTTTCTTCATGGGATCCCAAGAACAAGAATAAAGCTGAACTTCCATCTCAGCAAGGAAAAGAGCCTCAGTTTAGTTCCTCTGTTCCATGCTATAATTTCTTTCCTGCCCCCCTGGCTACTGCAGGGCGGACAGTGGCTATAGAGAAGCAGGGACCTTATAGAATTATAGCAAAATTTAACAAATTATTATTTCCTTCTTCACATGGGTGTTCTGTGAGGAGTATTTCCCAGTTAGGTCCCATTCTGCATCACTGGCTTGATGAAAGCTGATTATAGCCAAAAGAAATGTAGAAACAAACTTCTTAGCTGAGACATTTTTAAAGATAATTTTTTAATTTCATTACTTTCATTTCTGGTCAACTGCCAAGAAAAAAGTACCCTGCAACCTCTATGGACAAGAACACTATAAAACTCTACTCTCTCCATGTGATGAGTATATATAGGCTGCCAGAAAAGAACACTCCTTCAAGATGTGTTCAACTCTACAACCCAGATCCTACTTAAGCTGTTCCTGAGATATCACATCAAGGTTTAAGTGGCACAGTGGACTCAGTTCTCTACTTATTACACTCCTTTTATCATAGATATACAACCTTCATTTTCCATGTGTTTTGAGTAGTGTATCAAATATTTATTTGGGGAAAAAAAAAGGCACAGCAAATAGTTCACAAAATTTTAAATTGAAAAAGCATAGCAGAGAACAGAGGGTATAGCAACAGCTTTAAAAGTCAGACATACATAACTGTTGACTTTCCAGCTCCATTAGGTCCCAAGAGTGCTGTTATCTGGCCCTTATGGAAAGTGAGGTTGAGATCTTTAACAGCAGCCTTCTGACCATCCACATGCTCTTTGGTAAGAGACAGCAGCACAACACCAATGGTACCTCCTTCAGTGCAAGGGACTTTCCAACTCTGAGGTTTTCTTCCCTGGTCTGTGTGGGGAAGAGTAGCAGAACAAGCAGGTTGTTGAATCTAAACGTGTGTGTGTGCATATAAAAGGAATACCAAAATAACTTAACCTCTGCTACCATTTACCAAACAGATGTTCAAATTGTCTGAACTGACACAAACTACACTGAAATGAAAGATACCATGCCAATTAATATTTGCTAAGAATTTGGCCCATTTGCAGTTTCAAAAAGTGACTTATAAAAGTTATGCCTAGTTATATGCATGTCTATATATGTCTTGATAAAATCATAAAATAGTTGCTGTATTTTATTTCTAGTAAAAAATAATAACGTTACTTGAATAATTTTTTTATTCCCATAAGCATTAGGAAATTGTAACTGTGTAAACTACTTCATGTATGTCATCCAGTTTCAGGCACACAACATTGACATAACATTCACAGGCTTAGGCAGTTAATCTTCCCAATTCCCTTCAGCCAATTAAACAAAGCAGATCTCTGAAATGATTCAGAGCAGCAGCCTAGTTTAAGTATTCAAGGTGCTCAAGACAAGCAGATATCTGACAGTCTTTTAACTGTGAGGCAATATCCTCGGGAAACTGAGATGCCATATGACACCAATGAAGTTGCCTTCCTTTCCATGTCAGGTTTGTACTAGTTTCCAAACATGAGCACAGTCAATCAGCAGCCCCATTACATGATTACTTTTAATACTTTTATGATTCATTACTGCTGAGAGATCTAGCAGTAAGTTAGTTTATTTTCTTTTTAAGGAAAGGCAAGCCAGATTGGAATATTAATCTAAAGAAATAAAATTTTATGCTGGAGAATTATGAGAAGAGATAATTGTTGTTATGAATATACACGTACATAAGATATTTATGATTTATAGTTATAGTCTTTACAATAATTTTATGTAAATAACATGCAAACATGTCAAGAACTGAGATCTATCCTATGCATAAAAAGATGGAATCATATAAATCAAATTATAAATTTTAAAAATACATAATTATTTTAAAGATTGGGTTTTTTACACTGTGGATGAAGAAGTTGTTTTGCTGCTTTCACGCTCAATTTAAAGCTTCCGGCAAAAATTCCTTCTAAACTTGAGGTCACTTGCTAGCCAGTGACTACCAGCAAGGTAGCAAGCAAGCTAGCAAGGTACTACCAGCAGTTGTGACACTACTGAGATCTCCTACCTCTCTTCCAGGTACCTTCCCTGCTGTTTCCTAAATTTGCATACTTTAACAGAAAAGCATTCAAGTGCAGAGGCCTCAGACAATGTAGCTCAAGAAAGACGGAGAGCTCCAAGTTACTTGCAAGCACTAAACTGATTACCCTGGGACTTCTCCAAAGGGGAACTCCATGTGGGTATGCAGCACCCTGGTCATTGCCAGCCCAGCTGTAGTTGTAGTTCCAGGTGGTAGGATCTATACTCCCAGGTCCTCCCCCAGACACCTCTGATTTTCTGAATTAACTTGGGACCAGCCCTTACCTGGGTTATATGTAACAAGTGAAGAAATTGCCTGGAAGCAAGTCACTTGGCTGTTCCAAGAAAATTATTCATGGCTGCATTTATCCTATTGTCAGGACAATGGCACACAACTCTTTAAAAGGACAATAAGTTCCTTTGCTGCATGACAGTTTTGGCATTCACACATAGGCAATTTGCTATCAACCACATAACATGAAGAAAAGTGACCCACCAATTACTTAAATAACTTGATCCAGAAACCACACTAATAACTGGTAAAGCGAGAAGTCTTTGTTTTCCACAGATTATGTGGTGAATCCAGAGGGAAACACTGGAAATCTTCATTTTATATAAGGGCCAAACACAATCATCTTAACAAAATGAAGTTGTTCCAAATTGCAGAGATTCAGACAAAATTCATACAAATAATTTTTCCACAAGTGTTTAAATTAACCTCAGGACATTTTGAAGTCTGCTCTAAGCTGGGAGACAACTGTAAGTAAAACTGCTGAGTTTTCAGCTTCTTCACCTATGCTATAGACAACTGGATCATTTCTAAGATATTGTAACTTCCAAAAAAAGCACAACCTAACATATTGTTCTAAGGCCAAAGATGGAATACAGATGAGAGTGACTTCTTCCTTCATTTCCAAACCCTAATCTAAATGTAGGAATGTCCTTAAAGGGACTGGAGATGGGGGAAAAGATAAAAAAAGCTGAATTATTTGTAAGCAAGTGAGTGTACATAGTAAAGTAGTGAAATTATCTGGAGGCCAATAAAATTTAGTTATGTAACAGCTTTCTACACAAAAGGCTAAGAAGCAGACACAGAAAGAGCAGTGATTATAGAAGTGGGAAATGAGAAACAGAAGGGAAAGAAATTAACAAAGTTAATTTTTCCACTGAAACAAGAAACAAATTTTTAAGAAGTTAATAAAGCCCAAGATGTTTCAGATTCAGTGAGAGTATAAAAGGGATCAGTGAACTCCAAAAGATCCAAACAAAGCAAAGAGTGAAAACACTGGGACAGGATGAACCCAAGAGATACTTATTTTACATCTTTTAAAGAGCTTTCTTAAATATTTCTGTACAATAGCTTTCACAGAACGAATTCATCATTACAGGGGGTAGAAAAATGTAACAGTTACTATATAATAGTCATAGTATATACTATATGAGGGAAGAGAGAAAGATCTAAACATACAATAGAGGATCAAGCAATGATAAAAGCAGATTGACATGACTACCATACCATTCAGAAAAAAACAACAACATTGTTCAAATTCTATTAGTACAAACCTTTTTCTTGGAAGTTTTCATTGAAGAAAAACATATTAGAATTCAGATAATGCCTCTTGCTTCTCTCTGTACCACACAGGTTCTTCCAGTAGGAAACAGTAAAGGGAAAGTACCACTGGTTCTTTAATCCAAATTTTCCTATATTAGAATTATGATATAAATTGTTGAAAAATTTATAGTCATTTTGCATTTGTATGTAGACTAAAAATGTCCTACTATTGCTTACAATGAGCTGGTTAGGCCATTTAACTAGACCAAATACTTTTCTCTGCTTAAAAATTTTAATAAAGTATAAAAAAAAGTCATTTGGTCATAAAACCATGTTCTTCCATAAAATAATCAAGCCTAAGTGATGCTTTATCTGGTCTCTAAATCAGCATCAAAGTGTAACAGAATCATAGACTTAACAATCTTGTAACCCATAGGGAAGAAAATGCACCAAGTAATCTGCCAAGAGAAAGTGCCTATTTTTTTAGTTATAAAAATAGTCCATCACACCAGTTCTTCTGTTAATATCTGCAAAATGCAAACAAATCAGCCACCATAAGAAACACTTACTGTGGCACGTAAACAAAAAGGCAAAACCACACTCTTATATACAAACTAATCTTTGGCATTGCCTGATCTTTTCAGGCATTACTTACCCAACACACAATACACACTCTGTTTGAAGTGTCATTATATTGACACTGAAGGGCAAATGTCAATTTAAGACAAAGTTTCCAAAATTCAGCTGCATATGTCACCAACCCCTATCTTTCAAGGCAAAATTCATGTTAATTAAAAAAAAAATAAAAAAATACAAATTAGCCAGAAGAAAAAGTGACATATGCAAATCAGAGGAAAGGTAAATCATCAGAGGAAAGGTAAAACATACAGTGAGGCATGAAGCTATGATTAAAAATAGATCAACCTACTCAATAAGACTTTTAAAACTTGGTTCATGAAAAAATCAAAAACCCCACCACTACTTTCTGAAAATATACTTGAAAATCAATTGTTTTCTCTATGCATTGGACTGATTGGCAGGAAGATACAGTTACTGCGCTGTCTGAAGTTTTTATGATCTGAAAACTTGCTGTTGTTCATGGGTTTCAGCCCAGATACTGACAGGAGATTCACCATTTTTCCAGGAAGTTTTGCTACTAGACAAGCTCTCTTACTATGAAAATCCAATAAATTCCTAATTCTAACAAATATTTGGCCTACCCACCAGCAAAGAAAAGATATTTCATGCTGGCTACAAATTCTAGTCCATGTGTTATCACTAGTCAATATTTATGTATTAAGGAAGATGTTGTTTCCCAGTCCCTCAAGAAAGTCACACAGTTTTGCACAACAGAACCATAACTCAGAAAGAGACATATTTTTGGTTTTTTGCAAAAAAACAAGAAAGACAATACCACAATATATATTTCCTGTGGTGGCTGAACTGTTTACATTGTGAAGATATTAATGGATGAATAATACTAAATAACTTCCTCAAAAGCATGAAATACGAACAAGCCCATGATCTTACCAGGAATAATATTGCTGAAATACCAGCCACCTACAAAATATAAAATGGAGTCAAAGAACATCATCCAGCACGTCCATCCAAAAGTCATGTATCCTCCTTGTGCCATTGACTGGTGCACATTATCCCACTGAATTCCTGGTAGTAATAATAATAATTTTTTTTTAAAGGTCAAAGCTAAATCAACACAGCATTAATATCACAAACACATCAACACCACATACTTCTGGATATTTAAGCACTGGCACTTGACAAATCATAGATAACAGTAATCCAAATGAGCAGAAAAAAAATTCTATGCCTCTCCAAGCCTGTGTTTCGAGCAGCAGATGACACTGCTGCTGTGAAAATGAAGAAAAGTAATTGTAGAAAAGGCTGTTTATGAAGTGGTCCTTAATTTGGAAAAAGTAGAGCTACAACACTAAAAAAATGGAGCACTGACCAATGAATCAGACTTTAAGCCACTCTGCTGATAAAAGGAAAAGGATTACACCAAGTTTAGTATCATTTCTGTAATGCTAAATCTGAAGATTTAAATCTATGAATTCTAACTAAGAAGCATTGTGAACATTGACTGCATTCAGAGGTAAACCGGAATGAACTCACAGAATAATTGCTTCGTAAAATTATTATATTGCACAAGACATGAAAGGAAAAAAGAAGGTGCAAACACTAGTGCTACAGAAAGTTACCATAGTGCTAAATTGAAAACAAAAGTTGTAAATTTACTTTAAAAGTTGCTTTTTTTTTTTTTTCTGAAAATGCTACTTTGTTTGCAGTACAGTGGGTCATGATATTGCTTCTACACTTCTTTCTCCACAGTTGTCAAGGAATGTAGCTTTTCTCAAAACACATTTTGCCCTTCCTTCAGTAAAGATGAGTCATTTTGATGAAGCATCTGAAACTTAAGTAATATTTTCTGCAATTGTCTCTTCCACTCTTACAAACTGTTGTACCATTATGATACATTTTCAATAATTTGAAACATCCATTGTCATTAATATTAGTCTTGCCATAATAATAAAAAAAAGGATTATATCCCTTTAAGTACCTGAACTTGATCCAGCTTATTAAATCATTAGGGATTTTTTTCAGAACAGTTTGAAAAAAATTTCCAACTGTAGTTTTTGAAATAATAATTAAAAAGCTTTTCTCCTAACCAAAGACCTTACCTATTTCTTGGCCCTCAAAATGCGTAATGAAAAATATTCCTTGCCCAAAGGCGGTTGTAGAAAGAAGACACTATAACATCAGAGAAGGAAGAGTATGTGAACATCAAATAAAAACATGTTAAGAAGTTCCATGAAAAAAATATATTGTGATACTATGATCAAGCACAAACTAAATAGACCTTATTTTTTTCCTCCATATAGGCTAATGGTTGCTATTTCATTTTATGTTTTAACCACACTCCCCACAAAAAACCTTAGTAGAATTTGCTCCACCAACTTAGTACTGTGTTATTTTATCTGACCAACTGACATTGAAAACAATAAGCATTTTTAAAGTGTATGAATTACTCCACCAGCTTAATTTAGTGAGTTATTTTGAAACAGTGAAGCTATAATGTGTGAAATGTGGTTTTCTTTATATGATGGTGATATTTGATGTCACATTCTGGGATATCGTATGTTAGGAGAATATGAAGACATAAAATAGGCTATGGAATACATAGAACAGGAAAGGACCTGAAAGAAAATACACCAAAGAAACATATACCTCAGATTATATGGTTGGACAAATTTCTCATCTATTCTCCAATTGTATTAACATAAAATCAATCAATTTTTTTTCAAACAACTAATGACTTTGAGAAGTAGCATGTCATCAGCTGATCTTGAAAATACATTACTATTAGAAGTATTTTGATGTTAACACACAAAGAGAACTCATGAATACGAGGAATGCGATTTCCTAATATTTTCTGTAGGTTTACAAAATTGCCCTGACAATTTATTTTTCATTCCTTTCAACCTTCCAAATATTTTCTCAGGTGGAAATTTATTCGTGTGATTTATTTCCAATGATCATAAAAGAAAACAAACATTGGGAAAAATAAATACATTATGGTCTGAAGTTTTGAAGTTACAGAAATTCACAGCATAGTTGAAGGAGAAAAATTAGAAAAGAAGAAATATTTACCATTGTAATCTGGTTGGTAAAACTCAGCTGGTTCTGCAAGACCAACAAAACTATGTAGGGTAAAAAGCTGGTCATATAGACAAGGCTGGAACACAGAGCTGCTGTATTAGCACTGCTGAAAAATGCTCCCAAAAAATAGCTTAACATGATAATTGTAACTCCAAATTCCAGGAGAAAAAGGAAGATAAGGAAGCCATTGCTATAGACAAAGATACCACTTGCTTTTAAAATGATGGCCAGAGCACAGCTGCTTACTGTGAGCACAATGACATTCTCCAAAAACCAAGCAAAGAAATGAATGACTGGATACACACCCATTGTCTTCATATACTGCAAGACAACATAGCAAAGAGAGTTAAAGTTAGGAAACAAACTTTCTTTTTGTTTTTCTTTTTTAAACAAAACATGTTGTCACCAAAACATTACCAGCTTCCCAAAGGATTTCATCTTCCCCTTAAATTTTTTGTTTCTTTGCCCTTGTCCCGTGCTCTGTCCTGCATCAGACATGTTACTGAGTAGGGCAGTCTCTGAGATCATCACACATCAGCACAAGGAATCACCAAGCTCAGCAAAACTCTCTTTTGCATAGGGTTTCAAGAACAGATATCAGATTACTGGTTCTTCCAGTGAGGAGTTTGCCTTTTTATATGCTAAAAGGTACTGAGAATATCCAGAGCAACGTATATACAATTTTTTTTTTTCCCAGCCTGTTGTTCTTCTGAAAGAAATATAAAGTTTATAACCTTATGCATTACCAGGCAAATAATAATAATAATTTAGCCAGGTATGAAGTACATCCCTCTTTTTCTAGAAAAATGCCTTTGGATACAATCTAATAAAACCTCTGAAGCAGTTCTCATAAGATCACCAAAATTAATATTCTGTTGATTTAATATTTTGGAGCATTAAAATGTTTATCTTAAAACAGAAAGATTAGAGAAATTAGATAAATTCTCAGTAATTCCCTAAATTAAAAATTTTACTCAAGCAGTTATTCTGTTGATATAGTGAAATAAGTGCAATTCTTTGAAAAGTGTATTTATCTGTATTTATCTCTATAGAAAATGTATCACAAGGACCCTGTCCTTCCAAAGCACCTGTGAAGACTAGCTGTTGATAGAAGCAAATAATTGTCTCTTTTTTTCTTTTTATGATAATTACATAGTACATAACAAATTCTCAACTTATTTTAGGTAGTTTTATCATTACAGACTACATAGAGCAAAATCTGAAAAAGAACCCAAAACAAAAATCTTTCTATTCACAAGGCCTTTCCAAATAACACTTCTAGCTTCAACTTTTTCTTGTTGCTTTTTGTCGTATGGACAGTATTTGCATACTGATGCTCAAACAATGTTGTGAATCTGAGTTGGCAGCTAGAACTAGAACCTATTGCCCAGGGGAAACAGGTGAAAACAAAGCCATCTGGATGAGTACTTAAAAGTACCTCACAACTTCTGTATTTCAGTGCACTTAAATGAACAAATTTTCTTTTCAGAGGTTAATCTGCCTCGTACCTCTTCAAGATTAATTTCTCTTTCAAAAACCAGCTTGCGAACCATAGCAGCAACTGAAACCACCCATGTTAACATCATCATAAGTGGAAAAAAAAATCCTATGTTGTTCAAGAATCTATGAGAAAACAAATATGAAGAACTGTCAGCCCATGAAGGTAAACCATTTTCAAGCAGAATGTTAATAAGTTATACTGGAGCTGTTCTCAAAATATGCACAAAATAAGATCTGACATGAGCAATAGGATAAATTCCTGTTCTGGTTAGAATTACTTATTTTTTATGTATGCATTTTAGCTTGTATACATTTACAAGCTAGATGTATGTATTGGCACTATATTATTATATCATTATAGATGACAGTATTTTAAACTATAAACTGACATAATTACTCTTTGGGGCTCCATTCAAAGTCAAGCAAAATTCAGATTTTTGTCAATGGCAAAGTAATATATTTGGACAACGACGAATAACATGACCCAGTCAATTTCTACTCCACTTTAACAAATTTATTACCATTGACTAATTTTAAAATCTAATAGTTGGGATGTTTTGATGATTTTACAGAGAACAACCCTACACTTTTGCTTCCTCAACTTCACCCTTCAAGGGACCAATTTGTAGTTTGTGTACAGGACAACTAAGGATTTAAAAGGGATCTCTTAGAATAATCTAAGTTAATTGCACACTATGTTGATACAGCCTCTGTCCAGTAGACTACTTCACATTATGGCTGCAACATTTTGTAAGAGATCATTTGTCAGACACTGTATAACATGTTATGTTAAACACAGCTGTTGGACAGGATTTGCTATGATGCTCTGCTATTGGATGTATTTGTTTAAGCCTGTACAGAGGTATACATTCACCCATTGAAAAGTGGGAACCTAGTAGGATCCCAAGTTCTCTAAAACTAATCTAACAAGGATAATATATCAAATTAAAAAGCTGAAATTTTACTTACAGATCACTGGTATGACAAGGGTAAGGCATGGCTTGCACCTGAATTGCTGTCTCTGGGGTGTTTATCCCAGTCTGTGCTGAAATAATTGCCCCTTCAATCATGTCTTGAAGAGGAATGAAGACATGGTTGTATTTAAACCCATCTGCTGGCAATTTGTGGGGATGGGATTTCCATGTTGGGTTTTTTATCAAATCTGTTCTCATGCTGTAGAGAACACTGGTTCTAATTGTATATGAAATGCGTCTTGGAAGGAGATTGCTAGAATCTTGTTTCTTGTCCTCTGGTGTATTGAAGATGATACCTGACAAAAGAAGAAAGGAAGCGTCTTAACTAAGCTTATATAATTTATGCTATTTCCATAGCTAACTCATGTCTAATTACCACATGATAAAGGATGCATTAATCTGTCAGGACAGGCCTCCAAACTTTCTTGATCCCAAGCCCAGAAACAGCAGGTTTCAGAGACACATTTTTCATGTTTATGAATATGAAATGAAAAAGATTATTCACATGATAAATGGGCTCATAAAAATAATTTTTATCTGAGGTGATTTTTCTTTTTTTGAACTGCAGTTTTCATTTTTCATCCACATTTACCTGTTTTTGGGGGACTGATATCAGTTCCACAGTAAAAGCAGCAGACATAAAATTTGTGCATCAAAGGATAACAGCTTCCATAAGTGAATGACAAAGTAAAAAGTACCAACCCACTAAAATTTATACTGATACTCAAGTCAATTGCAGACTTGTTCAGCACAGCAGAATTTGCATGTTTGTTTTCTCCAGCTCTGCATAAAGGAAAAATACCCTAACAGATGAAAGTTTAATATGTAGCTGTAAAGACGAAGCCAAACACAAGAAATTGCTTGTGTTCTCTTTTTGTGTGACCCAGACTTTTAAGGACCTCTGGATAAATGCTGAGTGTTGCCCTTTTCTTCCTTGGGAAAAGGGAGAGATATCTAATTACCCCATCTGGTTCTCTGAAAGGTAATAAAATACAGGATAGTTTACTGCAAACCTGATTTCTTTCAACTGGCTAATCTCATTTTCCTGTTTATACAAACAGTTGATTTTCTAAGACATTCCAGGAAGCTATGAAGGCTCTGAAGACTACAAAAAAAAAGAAGAAAATTCTATTCCAGTTTAACATTTGTCCATGGAAAGGAATGTATGCCTACATCAGAGAATGTAACATTGACATGTTGGACACATTAAGTTCCTTAAAACACCATCTTCTCTCTCTCTAATAATGTGAAGAGATAATGAGGCCAGAGTACTGAAAAATACTCACACAAAATGTCTTGGCATATATTAGCATATGGCCTTCCCTAGATGAGTGAAAGAAAAATAGAACTAGAATTTGATAATTCAATTTTCTGAGGGCCAAGATTTATCTGTCTTTCTTTAAACAGTTTGCTTCCTCCAAAGTACTCCGGAGCAATTTTCCCTGTGTCAAGGTATGGATGCTAACTATGAAGCAGTAAGCACAGTGCCTGTGGAATAGCAGGCCGCATAACTTTCTCAGTCTTGCCTGAGAAAGTGGCCTGGGAAATCATAAGGATGAATTAAAACAATCCCCAGAGATAGAAAACAGCCTTGCAGGTGCTGTTTGTCAGTTTCTTGTTTTCTTACAAGAGAAGGTCAAGGGGTGACCACTGACCAATGATGGTGATGTGCTACTTTTCTGTACTTTCACATATCGGTCTATAAAAGAAGATCTGAAGTAATAAGCCTAAACAGAAAGAACTCTCCTGTTCAACACACAAGAGAGTCTGTGTCGTTCTTCTCGCCATTCCAAATAGAGTGACATCAAGATATGGCCTATTTATTTTACGTTGATATAGGGTGGCAATTGCCAGGGTTCTGTGCAGATCACAAAACTAGCAAGGGATTCCAGACTGAACAGTTTTTCCTTCTTTACAAGTGCTTTCTCATGTCTTCTATTGTACACTTACAGACATAAGGAGGACAAAAAAACCCCAAAATGACAGTGAGAATGTTGTGGAATACTTTTTATAGACTTAAGGAGGCCTCTCTTTTGGAAACACTACATGCAACATAGAGAATTTTCTTCAAGACCAGTGTGTATGTTAAGGAAAAGTACTCTTGCATTTTAAAATCTTTTGTAAAATTAATTGATTCTCAGCAACAAGCACATAAGCATAGGAAAAAGAGAAAAAGTATAATCTCAAGGAAGAAATTAAATTCCTTAAGAACTTATTTACTCTGAATAAACAAACTCTGGGGTGTTTTAAGAGTAAATCTTAACAATTCCCCTTTATTTCCTCCATTTTGAAAAGTCAATAATATAAAAAATAAATTTTGAAAGGTTGTAAACTAGATGATCTTGTTATCTTGTTAAGTTTCCTCAGTATTCCACATTTTTTTATCTTTTTCTTCTTTAAATAGTTATGACCATTCTTTCAAATATTTTGATAGAAGTAAGAGACTCCAAAGATTCATTTGGCCATCCCACAGTTAAAACAATAAAATTAGTCTTTCCAGCTTACATTACAGCATTCAAATGTGCTTTATGTTGACTGTATTACATGTGATTTAATGTACAAAACTACAAAATCTGAAATTTTCTGTAAAAATACATTTTACAAAAAGTACTTACTAGCCAAAAGATTATTTTCCTGCATGAGTTCATAAGCCTTCTCCTCCAATTTCTCTATAGAGTCAAAAGGCTGGAAACGGTCCAGCAGCACACAGGAAGAGACATTTACAACAAGCTGTGTCAACAGGTCAATTTGTTTACTTGCTGAGCTGTTAAGCATCTTGTTCATCATGGTTTCTAAGACAAGGAAACAAATTTGACTTAGTTTTAATGATCAGAACAGAAAGCTGTGTTGTCACTTGCACATCCTATAAGAGTAAATCCTCTTTGTATTAAGAGAAAAAGTTTTTAAAAATAGAAACTTTAGTGTAAACTTGTAGAAGTGCAGGTCATGTTTCAGTGGCTTTTTTACAAGCCCTCAGCTACTCTTTCCTTCCATTTCAGAGTACTAAAAATAAAACAAATTCTAGCAAAGTTCTAGAAATAGCCCACACCCTTGAAGCTATAGGACTTCTAACCTTTTCTTATGTTTCCATAACCACTCCCTCAAATACAAGGGAATTACTGTACTTAAGACATCATAATATATATTAATCTCTCATTTAGCAACATATTACCCAGTTTTCTCCTTGATACAGTGAATATTTCAAGAACCATGTTATATAGAACATGAGCATTTTGACAGGAGTTGTACATGCTTTTAAATGTAAAAAAAAAAACTTTTTTTTTAATGATCTCTTCATTTTTACTTTATCTATGGATCCAGGATAAAAGGCTGGTTTTTAACAAAACTCAACTTTTGAAGGAATTTAGATCTTCAACCATTGGTAGAGAATGTAGGGATAATGCTATATCCTTATATTTGAGAGAATAATTATAAAAGATAGCATAATCTAAAAACAATCTTAACCCATCCAGATTTAATAAAAATATCTGAATTTCTCAGGTAATAAACAATGCTATCAAACATCCAACACAATTGTCCATCTTAAATTTTTCAACACTCACTTGAAGACATAGGCTTTAAAAAGGATAGGTAATGACCTCCTATGATAACAGTGGTGACAGACAAATCCTGGATCATAGACATTACTGAGCGTCAGCGAAGGAAATATTACAATAGGAAGGCAGATAAGTGGAAAATGTATGCAGCAGTCTGAAGAGGAGGCATGATTAACAGTGACAAAGGGTAAAGTGCACAAGGAGAAAAAGTAGAGGAACTGACACTCTAGAAATCGAAAGATAGGCAAACAATAACAGGGTGAATTCATAGGTATGGAGAAACCATAACTGAATAGAGATAATAAATGTCTTATTTATGGCTACACTTGAAGAGTTACAATAAAGGGAAAACCTATCTAACCCTTTTTTATGGCATTAGAGAGAAGAGAATAATCCTAACATTGAGCCCAAATGGCAGGGGTTTCATATATATCCATATATATTTTAGATTACATATTTAGATACATATTTACATATTTTCAGATATGTAATTATATATAGCCCTATATACCTTATTCTCTATGAAGACAGGGTTGTTCAACCTGAAAAAGAGAAGGCTCCAGACAGACCTTATAGCATCTTCCAGGTATTATTGTGGCCTGAAGGGGTCCTACAAAAAACCTGGGAACAGACTTTTTACAAGGGCATATACCAGTAGGAAAGGAGGGAATGGCTTTAAACTGTAAAAGAGTAGGTTTAGATTGGAACAAGTTGCCCAAAGAAGCTGAGAATGCCCCAGTCCTGGAAGTGTTCAGTGCCAGCCCGGATGGTAGTCTGAGCAACCTGGTCCAGCAGAAGGTGGCCCTATAGCAGAGCGTCTGCCCAAAGATCCAAAGCTGAAGCTTCGGATGAAAATAAAAAAGAGTATGAGTGGTAAAACCAGTAACATGGATATATCCAAGGTTTAATTGGATGCAAGCAAGGTAAGTACAGGACTAAACAGCTGATGCAATATAAGACTAAAAATTTTTTTAAAAAACAAATATAAGAACAGAGGTTTACAGTTAAGTTACACATGATTATGGTATAATAAAATGAACAAAAAGTACACAAGCTAAGATAAAAATAAAAGTGCATATCATTTTTCAAAAAGTAAAACAACCAAGTGAATCCATACAAAGAAGCGTAATAAATTCAGAGGAGTGCTCTGGCACTTTGGTTTCACAAAGGCATACATGCTCTTGTGATCTATCACCCCTATTGATTTTCAGTTTTAATATGATGTTAGCTTTAACAACTGCATTCCCTTAAAATAAGGAAATTCTAGTTTCATAAGCCACTCTACTTAAATCATCTTTTGTCTTGACCATCCAATCTTTTAACCAATTATTACATACTATCAAATGTCCTTAGTTCTGTTAAAAAGCTATAGCTTGAGAAACAAAGGTACAGATTTCTTTGATGCTGTCTGCATGAGTGAAGATGGATCTGATAATTCCAGAGATCATGATATCTATTTAATGGAATATTGTTTGTCCATAACATATCATGTAGTTCTCAGTGTTAGGTCCACACCAAAAAAATCCAACTATTACTCAAGTAATAGTTTGAGATAGCTATGTTTCCAGCATGTCATGAAGTTTAAGAGACATGCTCTTTCATCTATCCAATCTTTCCAGTATTGTGATTCTGTGGGCTTGGTTTTTAGTTGTATTATGATGCATCTTTGTGGACATGATTTCTGAGCCTGAGAGAATTTCAAGCTCTTGGGGACTGACTGTTCCCAAGGGAAAGTCTTGGGAACCTTTTCTCGCTCAAAGATTGTTTGTGTAAATAAGAGTTACTTTCCCAAAATAAGACACAGATGTTTTAAGAGTGTTTTCTCTCTTGTCCCACCAATAAGATGAGGAAAGTGTTGTTCCTTCTACCAATCAGGGTGACCTGATCGGAACAGCTTATATAAGGGTTGCCAGAACCCTGAAATAAAGACTTCTTCGCCTCACGAAAAGTTGCTGTGTGTGATTTTCTCTGAACACTCGCTATACTTCGAGTCTTCTAGCAACCCATCTTCACCTCAACAGGTGAACTGTGCCTGACCCAGACTAGTCAGCAGTTCACTATTTAAGAAAATAATCTGAAGAGAAAGAAGATTCAAATTTGAGTCCCTTGCTTAAGGAGGAAACAGAGCCCAGACTCTTTCCAATTTGAATTCTAGATGCCATCTGCCATTTTTCTTACTGAAAGTGCACAGGCAGTCCTAGTCTTCAAAGAAAGCCTTCAAACCAAGGCCAATTTCAACTAAATTTCACAATGTGTCTGCTAAAGAAAAGCCACACCAGCTCACACCAACTGTGACTGCATCAGCTCAGGTCAGTAGTACAAGTTAGGACTGAGAACACACTTCATTTACAAGCTCCCAGGAGCCTCTGTGGATTTTGTCCATCTCCTGCCTAGAGGCAGATACTGAAAAACTAATAAAAGCGGTATTTCAATTACAATTATTTATTTAAGATGTAGTCTTAATTCTTTGACTGTAAAGCTGACTTAATGACCCATATTTCTGTAAAGTCAATTTTTTCAAGGCAATGAAGGTCACAAAGTCCTCTGTGGGGGAACCTGAGAACTTATCATTGCCCTCCTCCAGAAAGTGACTGGAACAGATTTTGGTTTGGCTCATAATTATCCTAAAAGTCACTGACCAGAAACAATACAGATCTGTCTTTTTTACCACAATCCTCCTCTAGAAAGTACCCTGCTCCCTTTGTCCATGATGTCACACTGTCTGTTATTGCATTTTGTCCCAGTTTTCTCTCTTTCTGATTCTCAAAATCATGAACTTTTCTTAAATGACATTGAAATCTGCTTCAGTACAGAGTTTTCCTTCTGGCACATGCTGGCAAACATTTTAATGATCATGCACCTACCTTACTGACAGCTGGACATACTGATTTATTTTTTTCAATTATCAAATTCTTATAAATTTGTTAAGTAACTGAATTTACAGCATAATTCTTTCTCTTCTCCTACTTAAATCTTTGAATATCCCAAACTGGCTAAAATAATAATTCCCCTTCTCCTTCATTAAGAACCATTTGCCTTGGGCTATCTATCATACTCTGGAGGCTCTCTGACTGCCAGGGCTCACTACCAATGCAGAAAGTGAGCAGCCAGGGATGGCTGTGCCCAGGGGAAGGCAGAACAATGAATCAGGGCCACCCTTTTCCCACCAAAGCTGCACAGAGCTGGGACTCGGCCTGGGCCCACTTCAGGCTGCAGCTCCCACGATTTCACACCTGACTGTGGACCTGGGCCCACACTACTTCCCATGGGGTGGTGTTCTTCCCTCAACATTATCCCAATGGTCCCATTGGGCTATCCCAGGACTGGGGCTGACTCAGGTTGCTTTCTATTGACAGTGCAGCTCCCTGGTTATCACCCTCTCTCAGGCTTTCCTGAAGCTCAAGGAGACCACATGCAAATGGTAATGAATAAATGGAGAAAGAAAACAGAGTTTTTGATCAAACACACTGTATCCAATCTCATTTTCTATTTATTTCATTCAAAAACTACTACAAAAATATACTTTTACCTAATGGAACTGTGGCAACTAGTTTTATATCTCCCTTTTATATATGGATATATTTGAGACTCTCACATGACACTTTCACTTCTGTTACAAATATTATTTCAATATTTGAAATTCAAATTATCCAGTCACTCAAAAGAAAAAAGACAATTACATTTAAGACTAACTCTAGAGAGTAAAGTCTCTTATTACTTTACTTAAATATCACTGAGGTAGGTAAAATATTCAATTTCAACTAAATGTAGTTCTAAGTTGAAGTCTAACAAGGTTAACCATTGCATGTACTTTCATATACGTACCATAAGCTTGCATTTTTTTAAGGAGTTTTTCCATGTTGATGTCCAAATTACTTTCTATGAAATGCTTTACAAAATTGTTTTTCAGAACTTCCTGAAATCAAAGGTGATAGATGTTACCTTAGGTTTATCTTCTCTAAGAAAATACAAAATATACACATGTAAAAATGTTCAATTCCATTATCAGGATTTCCCGCATGACACTGCAGAAGTCCACCAGCTTCTCCATGTCTTCAGTCTTCTCCCTCTTAACAGGTTAACACCACACATTTCAAATAAATGGCAGGGAGGTGGGGAAGAGTTTTAGGGGAGGTGACAGGGGAAGGCACAATTATGTAGAATGGAAAAACCCCAGTAACAATAATGCCTTTTTATTTTATAGTCAGTTTTTTTCATCAGTTTCACATTTTTCTGGCAAACATAAGCAATGAACAAGTACCAACATAATTTTATTTCTCCTGTTTTTCATTGATACTGGGGCAATACTGGAGATAATGAGGCAACATTGCTTTTAAGTATTTTCATGTCAGAAGTTTCTCAGCATGACTCTATAAAGCTACTCTGCCTCTTTTTCATCTCTGTTTAAATCTGAAGTAAGATATATGGGTAGTTTTGCATATATAGAAATACAGTCTAGATCAAACAGCAAAGAGTTGGAAAACAGAAAGATCTTCCACAGTTCACCAACCTGCAGTCGTGAGACTGTGAGAATATTTCCACTGGTTTTAAAAACCTCAGACATCCTAAGCCATGTCTCAGAATAAGACTTCAAGTTTTCCAAAAAAACAAAAGTGAAATTAGCCTGGGGAAAAAAAATGCATGAAAACAAATGAAGTGAAACATGTGCACAGTAAATCTTAAGAAACAGAAAAAAATGGCATTCTTTAGATCTTCTGCAACTACTTTCCATTCCATTTTGATAGTCATCAGTAAGACTACCCATGTTTTCTTCTTTTTATCTAAGAAATTAAAAGTATTTTTTTCGATACCAAGCAAATCAGTTTTCCTGTGCTCTGTAAGTTTCCCAACAGAACTATCATAAAGACTTCTTTATTCTGTAGTGCCTCTTTCATAGAGAGTGTCATGGGGGTGCTTGAGAAAGGCAGAAAAAAGAAATTGTTAGGACATACTCAAAAGAAAGCCACTCAGTTGTGGGTCTTTTATTCAAACTAGTTTGACTGAATACATAATAAAACTGAAATCTGAAGCCTAGTCTGGACAATAAATATAACTGATCAAACAATCTGTTTCAAAATACTCTCACAGGGAAAGACTTGAGTAAAGCAAAATATTTTCTGTCACAGTCAAACACAGGTTGCACTTACTCTCTTAGTAAACAACCAGCAATTTCTTTTCCAGCCTGTTTTAAACTCAAGTTTCATATTCAAGACTAGAAAATATTGCAGCATCTTTTTGTTTAAATTGGTGTTACCAGTCACAGAAGTGTATTTAAGAACAATCCACCATAGCTGTGATAAAAATTTTGAAATTTTCCAGAAAAGAGTGTCTGCAGTGAGTTGTAAACTCCAATTTGGAACAACACTTTTTGCAATAATTCTTGTTGAAAGTATACAATTTCTGCCATATTATTTTTTAAGTGCCTTTTTCAAAATCCCACTCTTAGCACATGAGAAAACAAGTTCTGGTGACTCTTTGTAATACAGAATACCCTGAAGAAACCTTGCATGTAATTTTGTTTCCCTGAAAAACATTATGCATTTAACTTCTATGTGAATCTCTATTCTCCTTTAAAGAGTGATCATTCATTAGGATTAAAGAGAAAGTGATCCTGAATGTTGAACTAAATTGCTGTCAAGTAGACTAAATAAGTTCTTCTGATCAGAAGTAACGCAGTAACCTCATGGATTGAAACCTCCATGATGATGGTCACAAGATGAAGGAGACCAGGAAGACTGCAAGGGTGGCAAACAGGCAATCTGGGAGATTGCTTTCTCCCCAGAACAGAGCAACCACAGATCACACCAGAACACAAGGAGATCAAACTTTCAGACACCACTAGAAACTATTATACCAAGCAGCTTGTAAGATCTGGGCTCAATAGAGCTTAGTGCTTCTTAAACTGGATTCTGAAGAGCACAAAGGAATATTTTTTGCGCTAAAATTGTTTTCAAAGAGCTACAATAACTATAATATGCTTGTATTCAATTCCTTATACAAAAAATAAAAAAAACCTAATTACTGCAGCAGCATGGATTTCTGGAAAAGATGAACTTTCTACAATGTTGTCATGGTTTTAGCTCTAGCTAAATATCACTAGATGTGATGGAGTAATTAATTAATTAAAGGCAAAGCATGATTAAGTCCTAAGTTTGCACAGTAGTAAAAGTAAAAAGTCTAGGGGTGGAAGTTAGTGAATTTTTGTTTCTTCCTTTCTGTCAATTTAGTAGTTTTATTGTTTTAAGTAAAGTTTATGTTGTAGTTTTGACCATTGAAAACTGAGATCAACCTGTGAACACCACCTTAAGACCTAAGCCCAGGAATTTCTTTTTCTCTCTGGTTTCCGGCTTTGAAGAGGTAACAGAGCTCCGGTTCAGCCTCCTTCCCCCCAGGCCGGACAAGGCAGTGTTCTTTGGGTCCCAGGGAGGATGGAGCTTGTGAAGTGTCAGGAGCCCCATCCCAGAGGGCTTGCTGGGCCTTGTACAGTGGGGCTGCCAGCCCAGGCTGGTCCCTGGCTCGGCTGCAATTTCTGCCACTGCTGAGTTTCACCAGAGACTGCCGAGTAAGGGGAGGGAAAGCCATTGGCCTGCGGTGTGCTGAGATAGTGGCCACACTCCCCAGAGCAGCCATGGAAAATCTTCTATCACAGACAGCTCCAGCTGCTGCTCCAGCAGAGATCATGAGACCATCCACAAGGCCTGGGCAAGATTTTAACCCTTTCACTACCCAGATGAGACTTGCAGATTAATCCTTTTTTCCAGAGAGAGGGGAAGAGAGAGAGCGATCAACAAGTAAAGAGACAACATAGACTATCAAAGACAGTGAAGAAATTAAGCCTCAGATGGGAAGAGAATAAGGAGATGCACTAATAAGCTGAAATATTCTTTTGCTAAAGCTATGGAGATGGACAATAATGTTCTGAAAAAACTCCTTTAATTCATGAGAGTGTATTTTGGGGGGAATGGAGTATTTCAAAGTGTAGATCTGAGCAAAAGGAATTCATCGATAAAGCTGAGTAAATGGTGAAGTAGTTGTGATCTTATGAGATGGTAGAAGAGAAACAGAGAAGTGAGAGTTGTTGAAGATTTTTGGTCCTTAAGAAAGAAAGAGAAAACTGCTGTTTCCAGAAATGATCACAGAGACAGATGAAGAAAATTTCTGCCTTTGAGTAACTCATCCTTAAAATGACACCCCTTTTTGACTCATGGCCCATGAACACACCTCAGAGTGGTGTGAAATGGGAGGAAGGAACTGATGGCAGAGTTGTCTGGGCAGCTGGCATCAGAAAAATAGAAAGCCATGAGAAAATGGTTTTCTTGTGAAAAACTCCATAGATTAACAAAAGACAACTTCTTTTTCTCTACAAAGTCTTATGAGAAGACTACAGCAAAGCTGAGATTGTTTTAACCACCAGGCTTTTTTTGTCTCTATGTTGTCATGTGAACAAGGGAATGGTTGGGTAGTGGGGAAAGAGGGTTTCTGGAGGTTTTATTCTGGTTTCTTATTCTTGTAGTTCTGTTGATAAACTTTCTTTATTCCTTTTAAGTGTTAAGCCTGTTTTACCCTTCTCCTAATCCATATCTCACAGCAAGAAATAACTAAGTATTCCAGTGTTGTGGTTTTAAAGCATTAGCTAAAAAATTACTAGAAAACGTATTCATTTCTTGTTCTTGTGTTCTTGAGTGTTCTCCACAAGAAAAATGGTTTTCTTTTTTTTTCATGCCCATGTTTGGCAGTCACACGGAAAAAACTCTGCCATCATGCTTTCCTCATATTTTCACACCAGTCTGAGGTGTGTCCATGGGCCATAAACTCATGGGGTATTATATTAAGGATGAATTATTCAAAGGCAAAGGTTCTCTTAATCTGTCTCTGTGATCATCTCTGGGAACAGAGGTTTTCTTCTTTTCTCCCTGGGGGCAAAGGGTCTTCATTAACTCTCACTTCTCTCTCTCTGTTCTAGCATCTCATGGGATCACAACTACTCCACTATCTGCTTAGCTTCATCAATGGATACCTTTGCTTAGATTCACAGTTTGAATAATTCATTCCCCCCAATACTCTTTTCATGAATTAAAGGAGTTATTCAGAACATTATTGTCCATCTCCATGGCCTTACCAAAAAAATATTTCAGCTTATTAAAGCATTTCCTTATTCTCCTCTGATCTGAGGCTTGATTCCTTCCTTCACTGACTTCGATGTTTTATATTGTCTCTACACATTAACCACTTTCGCTTTCCTCTCTGTGGAGAGGGAGATTAAATCTGCAGGTCTCACCTGGGTAGTGAAAGGGTTAAAATCCAGCCCAAGCCGCAGCAGGTATTCATGGGGTCGGATTTCAGCTCGGCAATGCTGGAAAAAAGTGGATTGTTTTCAGCCTGGAGCTGTCTGTGTGGGCCATGGTGGCAAGATGTCGGCAGCCGTGGCCTGCTCCAGCCCAGGGACGGGTGCCACAGCCGAGCCTGGCCAGGCCTAGAGCCAGGGAAAGCCCTCAGTTTCCATCCCCCACTCAGGAGCCACTGGAGTCTGGCTCAGCCCCCTCCCCCCAGTCCGGACAGGCCATGGGGGGAGCAGGGCCAGCCAGAGTTCTGTTACCTTTCCAGGCTGGAAACAAAGAGAGAGAGAAGTTCCTGTATTTAGGTTTAAAAGGTGGTATTCACAAAGGTTATCTTACTTTTCAGTGGTCTAAAATGCTGTCAGTTCTGAGAACTGGCCAGCTATTGGCTTGATCTCAAGCAGAGAAGAAACTCCCAGCAGCCTCTCTCGAAGCCTTCACTTCCATGTTTTCTACGTTTGTTTTTTTTTTAAATGCCAAACCATCACAAATGTAGACACTTATTTGAAAGAAACTAAAAGCAGCAAAGTGGTAAGTTGTGTGCAGAAGGTACAGAGTCTAAGGCAGCATAGAGGAAACTGAACAAATACCTACTGCCTATCAAAAAAGATTTGAGGAAGACCATATGCACACACACACACACTACAAAGCAGTAAACCACTGGGAAACTTCCTTTCAAATGAAGATTACATCCAAATGAGATTAAAAAAAAAAGTTTAAAAAAATTTTAGTTTAAAAGTGGTTTTGCTTTTTCATTCATGACTATAGGCATTTGGGAAGTTCCTGTATCAGAAGCCTTCCCCATGCAGAATACTTTGGAGACTATGTCTCTAATCAAAGCAGCAGTAAAAAATAAAATCATACAATTTAACAAAATTAAAAATAAGTAGTTTCCAGGAAAAGATTATGTCCAGCTAAGAATTTCAAAAGTACTCAAGGATTAAATAGCTGAACTGCTCACTGTAATGCAACCTTGTTAAAAATTCCCTTGTTATAAGGGAAGTGGAAAATAACAAATGTAAAGCTATTTATAAAGATGCTGGGGAAGCCAGAGGATTGCAGACTAATAATTCTGAAATCTAAGTTTTAATTTTTATACTACTAATAAATTACAATAAAGAGTAGTAGTAAATAGAGAATAGAAATAATTACAGCTGGGAGATAAAAACATAGAATTTTAAAATAGAAAGTGTCACAGTCTGAAGTGGAAGAACAAGCAAGTGAGGAAGAAATGGTTGATGCAGAGCTCACCCCAGGCACCTTAAATACTATGAATTCATATAACCCAAAAAGCAAGTGGACAAATTACAGCAGCCAAGTCCTGGCAAGCCTGACCCCAAAGTTTTTGGAAATAGCAGAAAATTCTTCAAAAGTGATTGCGGAATACAAGATAAACTCTGACAACTTTCTGAAATAATAAATACTTCCATAAGATCAGTTCATCAGTGGCAAAAAAAACTTAGTTGTGAAAGCAGAGATCAAAGACATCACATGTGGCCTTTGAACTCCTGAACACCAGTTGGCACTGAACTGTTTTACCCTCAGTCATCACCACAGCCTGTTTCTGTGACTGTCACCATCATCACTCCACACGGTAGAATTGCTGCCTTCTTTGAAACTCAAGCCAAACAACCTCACAATTCATCAAAGAATGGTCCATTACACATTCTCAAATTTAATAATCCATGTGGAAAACTTAGAGAATGTGTCAGAGTATATGAACATCAGTATTCTTTGAAGCTGTAATCTGCTATTTTTTTCTTCTAGTAAATAGATGACATGTGGCCGCACAGTCTAAAGAAAACCAGAACTGTTCCAATTTCATTAAAAGATCAGGCTTAGAAGGGCTACCGGGTTGGGGTTTAGTAGTGACACTTGAAACACTGGGAACAATATTTTACATTTAAACTTTGTTTATATTCAAGCAATAGCTGAGAGTTTTCTGTAATAAAAACAATAAAATCTCCCACTACATTCCTATTTACACTTAAAAAGATACTCATCCATAACTGTTAGATTTACTGGACTGGAAAGGGGAAAGAGCGTATTTACAGAGATTTCCAAATAAGCTGATGGAAATTTTATGAGCCTGAGAATATATAAGAATATTTAGAATATATATAATAACATATATAAAAATTCTTATATATAAGAACTCCTACCAGAATCTTTGTATTGTTCCAGAGCACTAAACCCCACCCCCAAAAATACAACCAATCAATCAACTAACCCAAAAAACCAACCCACAAGCCAACTTTTTTCTGAACTGTATTACTCAGTCCATATTTCACTGAAAGGTCTATGGGGGAATATACTGTATGTGAAGATATTAATCTTTCCTACAGATGTTTTTAAGAATGGAGGTTTGGCATTTTAATTGGCAAAATAATGTGGAAATGTTTTAAATATAATATTCTAAATGTCATTGTAACATAGAATTTAAGTTCAAAAAGACATGTAAGATTTGTAATTTCTTACAGCTTGTTCTTTATAGAATTTCCATCTAGAAACATCAAGAACAGCTTTATTTTTAACTGACTAAAAATTTTAAATCAATTATACTCTACTCCAGAGCTATAACTGGTGTTCTCCAAATTAAGATATTTAACTGCAAAATATGAAATCACTCAATCCTTTTTTCCAATTCAGAACTGAAACTATAAAATTATGTAGTATCTGCTGTCTACAATGGGTTTTTTGGCTTAGTGTTTTTGCTATTTTTTAGAACACAAAACTGAATACCACTAAGTTTCCAATTAACAGAGAATATACCATCACATTTAAAGTTATGGTCTTCTTGTGTAGCACGTACAAGCAGCATTTTTTTTTTCTAAATTTCCATTCTTGCAAAAATTAATATTGCAGGGTAAAAGTCATACATTTAGAAGATCAGTGCAAAATTTGCAGAGAAATCTAAAACAAGTCATAAACCCTTCTCTTACAGAAGTACTCTAAGCTAGGCATGAAGAAACATGTCATTGTCAATAGTCACCCTCAAGACAGAACACCAACCATAGCAGAACTGCAGAGATTGTAAAACTCTTGAATACCATCATCAGAATCTACACACAGCACCTCAGTTATAACTGGTCACTCAACTACTGGTGTTAGAAACAATCAGAAAGGATGAATTTTAGATCTCTTAATTTTTATTTTTTTTAATTCAGCTCAGTGACTCTCTAAGAACATGTGTTTTTACCCTGGGGACATCCCTTCCCACAGGTCTCTATGCTGCTCCATTACAGTTCCCACAATAAGAAAATGATGAAGGCAAAAGCTTTCCCTGGAGTACGTGCACCCTACACCTCAATTCAGCATGATTCACATGACACTTCTACTAACGTGTTATTTTTAATCTTTCTACACACAGTTTAAAGAACTTTGAGCAAAATTCTGCTTTTCACACTGAGTTTGAACCACTGTAACAAGTAGGATAAAAGTCAAGAGAAGCATTAAGTTTAAAGCAGGAAACAGGTGAGACCTCAGGGGACAGGTTATTTTTCTAAAAGGCAATTATCCAATTTCTTCTGCCTACCCTGAAAGAAGTGGACCTTTAAAACTAATTACAAAGACAAAATCAATACACAGAAATAGTGGCATTTTTTTGATACTCACCTTCTCCATCACCAGGTCAATCATGCTGATCTTTGAATTGTACAGTATTTTCCCATGTAATAGAGGTTTCAGGAAAGTCCATAGCAAAGCCCCATTAGGAGCCTGCAAAATCTCCTGATAAAGCTTCAAGCAAAAAGGAGCTGCAAAAACAAAGACAGACTCACATTTAAGATAGACAACACAGGTGAGATTGCATTTTTTTATTGGAATAAAAGCTTGAGTCTTATTTAGGGTCTACCACAGCACTATGCCAAAAACTGTTACCAGTGTTTTGGTAACACCATCCAGCTGCCACTAAGCAATCAGTACAGGCCCCTATAGAAATTGTTTAAACACAGTCTAAGATAGTATTGAGGATGCAGAACTCTAAACACTGAAATGGAAAAAAAAAAAAAACCAAAACAGAAGCTAGAGTTCCTCACATTTCTGAAAAGCAGCCTGTGAATCCCACCTATCCTAAGTGTTACATTAGTGCATTTTAGAGCAGAAGGACATATGTAAAACGTCTGCCCACAAAAATGAATTCAAAGGGAAGAGTCACCTGAAAAGAAAAAAAAATTCCTTCCACACTGTCCATTGCTCTCTAGCTTTGAATTTCGATATAAGAAAGAAGTACAAATATACAAAATCCTTCACAAATACAGACTTTTCTTTTTGTATATTCTTAAAAGAACCTATCAAAAAGGAAAAATTTTGATTTGAAAAATCTAATTAATTGTCTTTTCCATTTCTTAACTAAAAAACATATTTCTACATCACATAGGCTACTAATGTATTAGGGTGTATGTCCTTCAGAACTAGGATCTAAGGAATAGTTTCCAAGATATCCCACTGCATTTGTACTCATGTGAAGGCAATGAGTTCCTATAAGAAATATTTCCATTTTTATGCCCAACTCATGTTTTTGGGGTTTTTATTATTTATTACAAGTGTTTTCAAAATAACCTGTTTCTAATACTCTGAATAAATACTAAATAATATCATTAACTCTCAAGGAAGACAAATCTTTTTACATAATGGAAAACTAGGCCAAAACCATTTAAACTACTGACAAAAGCTAAAGAAACAAGTGTCAGAAACATTTCATCAAGAAAGGCCAGTTCTTTGACCAAATTTTTACTTTCTTGAATGAAACAATCATTACTAAACACAATCCTTGCAAAACAATAGCAAAGAAATAAAAGGTTACAAGTTGGCTAGACAGAAATGTCAAAATACTAAGGACACAGAAGACTTGCTAATCTGGGTTTGCTGTGATCTTTAGAAAGTCATTGTGAAGTATTTGGTATGCGCTAAATACATACAAGTTAATCACTGTGAAGTGGTATGAATCAAGTTTCTGTGGCTTCATTTTTTTTAAAATTTTCATTTTCCATTGCCCCATTTACAAATTTGTAAAATATGGGCAACAGTATTAATTCACTTATTGAAGTGTTGGAACTAACTGATGCCTTAAATATTTCAGAGTCCTATGGTAAAAAGTTCTCACAGCACAGAAGAGTTGCAACAACCTGGAAAAAAAGATCAAGAAACAGTGCTTCTGGCCTAAACAGCTTTTAAAGAGACTAAGCTCCAAACAATCTGTCTAATCAGCCATACAGCTGACTTCATTCTTTCAACAGGAAAGAAAAACAGAGCTGCCTGCTTACTACTAATAGTAATCCCACTATCCCACACATGCAAGTGAGAAGGCCAAAGCAGAGCTCTGGCTCCCTCCCAAGAGTCCCAGCCAAGACAGGAGCAATTTCTGCCTGTAGAAATCAATACATGACAGAGGCTTCCCTAGTGACACTCTGACACTGTATTCTTCTTTTGCACAGGGCCGCCTGAGGCACTAAAAAGGTTATTAACAATATTAAAATTAATCAGGGTAAATTGAACATGTACTGAGGAAAGGAGCAAAGGTCAAACTATATGAGAGCTAAGGGATTTTTCTGAACACTTGACAAATAGAATAGGAATATCAACCATTAAAAAACTCATTCTATCTGGACGGTTTGCATCAATAATGCACAGCTTTGTATTCACTGAAGAAAGGCAAGCAGCAATAAATTCTCAATCTTGCATCTCTAAGATATATTTTTAATACCAAGTGCTTAGAAAATGTTAATGAAATTGTATCAAAGACAGGAATACCCTTATTATATTATTTGCAAAGATAGAAAAAACAATCTCTTCTGTCTCACCCGCAGTTATCTCATAGCCACTTAACTTTCATTGATCAACACTTTGTATTCAAGGTGGCAGTGTCAATTGAGATGCCAGTGATATAGACATTTCCATTTAAGTGGGAAAAAAATTCTCTTAACTCTGAATTCATACTGCAACTTGTCATTGATATTTTTTTCTTACTTGAGTCTTCAGGAATGCCATATTTTGCCATATTGTCCTCCAAAAGTTCCATGGTTCTGGGCATATCTATGAACAGGTTTGCATTGCTGAAAAATGAAGATTCTTCTTTACATACTGCCTTGATTACAGACTCTAGGGATCCAACAGCTGAACTTCTGAACTGCCCACCCTGCAAAAACTAGAACAAACGAACAAAAACACAGATGTATCAAAGTTGGTTTAAGTAGCTTCAAGGAGTAGCCCTGGTCTGTCAATTTTGATATCTAAGGAGATTGACAAAATTAAGCTGTTGAAACAGCCTATTAGGATGAGGGCCTGCTGTGCTCGTTTCTGTTCTTTTGATCACTACTATTATGGTGAAAGTTAATGTAGTTTTAATTGTCAGGATAATCAGTGAAAGACAGTAGCATAAGGTACTACATTGAAACTAGAAAAATGCTGTGTAGCAGTTATGTAGAAAAGGAATGAAAATAGCAAGACAACTGGACTACAGACACCCTGATTCCAATGTTAGTTTTCACAAAGGGTGCTCTTCCGATAGATTATTGTCACAAAAGCAGAAGAAAGAACTAAAACTATTTTGCTTTGAATATTTACAGTGAGGACGGTTGCTAACATGAAAAAAAAATTAAATATTCAGATGCACATGCCCTAAAAGCCTATTTTTCAAGTACATATTTTAACTTGTTATATGTGCTTAGTTTTTGCACATCTTGAGTCATACCAGCGTTTATTATTGCCACTTGTTCATGACTAGCATATTTCTAATGAGGAGAGAGAGCAATCTGATTGCTTTTATGGCTTAAGCACCATCATTCACCACATTCAAAAAGAAAGAAGAACAACAATAGTCTCATCATCTTTGCAGCTCCACATTTCATATAATGGGCTCGATTGTAGTGACATCTCATTGAAGGCTGTACAGGTGCACAGCTCTAAGATGACACAACCACAAGGCTGCTGTGGTACAACTGAAGAGTGCACCGGCTCGCCTGATACTCATTACTGCTGCAGATGTTTATTAAGAAAGGTATAACAAGACTATCAGACATCATTTGAAGACTCCACAACTGGCAAGTAAAAAGAACAGTGTGATATGTCAACCACACACATTAAGCACTCAAAAAAATTAGCATTTTATAGTAAAAATTTTTTAAACAGAAGAGTCAATTTTCAAAGTAATACAGCACCTTACATAAAGGCATAATCACAGACAGTTTGGAAATTGCACTGCTGGAAACAGTTTATCCTGATCGATGCATTTATTGAAGTGCCAGGTGCTTCTTTAATAATCCTGGAGGAATATTAGTGTAGTTTAAAACTCAGTGTTAGCTGCTCCCAAAATCTTACTTTTAGGATACAGTTTCAGCAAAGAGAAAAGTAAATAAATAATATCCATATTTCATAATAAAATCATCCACAGCTCTTTAATTAATCTACTGGCATAGACTTCACTGGAGAAATAAATTTTATTTTTGCGCAAGGCTGCATAAAATTGGTTATGAATCTTCATTAGTGACTATTTGCACTAGAGGAATAAATGAGGCTTATTTCAGTCAAAGAGCACAAATGTGCTAATTAATTCCAGTTCAAATCAAAATAACTTAAATTCAAATAATGAATATTCATGTGGTAATCTTCCACTAACAGGCTGAATGTACTCACTGTCGTTCAACTAAATATGCACTGGCTTAAAAAAATATGTTTCTTAAAGTTTGGCTTTGATAACGTATGAGAAATATATAGTATGGATTTCACCAAAAAAAAAAAGTTTTTGATCTAGTTGGTCTATTTTAAACTATATAAAGTATGGATTAATCAGTCTAGATTACAGCCCAACAACCAGCCTCCTACAAACTAATCAGTCAAGCAAGTCACTGTAACAAATTCATGGAAGAGGAAGGCTGGTATGGAAGATTAAAAGGTTATCTGGAACAGGATTTTCAAATGAAGGCAAAAACCTTACAGCATAGGAGCTTTTGACATAACTGAACAGCTGTGTGCCTAAAAAATGTTATGAATAAAAATGAATTCACATGGAATAGAAATACCAGCTATTCAAAAAAAGAAACTTAAAAGTCATACTGGGCTACATCTTGCATATAAATCTAAAATACATTCCAAATCATCACATTAGAGAGAAAAAAAGAGAGAGGAAAAAAAAATGCAATTTTCCTGGAAAACTACAAGGAGCTTAAAGATAATTGAAAATTTGATGAAACCAAAGGGCTAAAGGAAACAAATTCAGAGAAACAGATAATCCTAATTATTGGGAAAAAACATAAACAGAATAAAGTCTTTTCTGTTGTGAAACTGACAGAATCAGGGGGATAACAGAAAAATTGCTAATTTGATTAAATAGTTTTTCAGAAGGCTATCAAATTTTGATGGCACTATTTGAAAAGTAGAAAAATCATATACATTCAAGAATGAGTAATAAAATTATCCAGGACATAATGGATATCTGGTTCTGATATTTATTAGGGCAAGATATACAGTAAATTTTTAAGTGGAGAACATTAAAGACAAGAAAAGTTTAAGAAGTAAAATTTAACGCATTTTCAAGTTATCATTTCTGACCAATACAACGTACTTATGTGAGTGGCCAATCCCTTTCTCCACATAAAAGGTACAATGCTGACTCAAATTTAGGGGAACACTAACAACCAATGTTCCTCCTCTAGAAAATATTATTCATCATTAATCCAATTGCTGATTAATAGTGGTGGGTAAAAAATTGCATTAAGAAGATATTGCAAGGAGTCTGTTAACAGGAAAGAAAGCACAGGATTACAGAGAAGTTATTAGTGTTATTCCCGTGAGCCCTGGAAGAAGCAAATTGTCTAATTTTTCCTATCATTTAATACCAGAAGGCGTTGCAGGAGAGAAGAAGATCAGAACATAATATGGAAAAAAACCAAATACCTAATTCAAAGAAAATTGAATAGAAAGATAACCAGTACAAAATCTTATTTATCAACTGAAATCGTGAGCTGTTGCTATAACATGGAGGTCACCTCAGTATATCTTTCATCCTTAATCAACTAAGAGACAAAACTCTGTGTAGTTTATGAAAAAGTTGAATGCAAGTTTAGGAAAGTCATTTTAGTAGGCATAGAAAAGAATTAGCAGGCTAAAAGTATCATTCCCCTCAAACACTGTACACATCTCTTCTTCCAGACATTCAGGGTTAGCCTTAACCAGCATTCAAAAACAATGCTGGGTTGTCTTAAGCAACCGAGAGCCTGATATAAAAGATAAAACTAAAGCAAAAAACAAATACCAAAACAAGTGTCCTGAGTTAATTATGATGTTAAATTGTATCCCCATTCATCCACCTAACCCAAACACCAGTTTTATATTCTTAAAATTTCATCTAAGAGTAAAAGTGAGTAGAAAAAAAGCACCGAGTCTGTTATCAGACTGTACTTGCTCCCCCCGCATCGGGAGTTTTGACTACAGCACAGACAGACAACAAGACACAGATCGCCTTGGCTTTCCAACTAGCCGGAGCAGAGAGGTCTTTCTGGACTGTTTTCTTTCCCTTTTCTAAAACAAATCAAACCTGCTCTGAACTAAAGACTCGAAGAAACACCGAGAGCCCAGCCTGAGCAGCGGCATTTTCCAGCGCCAAAGAGACTGATAACAGAGCAAACACCCACAGGAAAGAGACCCTCTGAAGTTTGTCATCTCTTCGAAACAGAGAGAAGTTTTGTAATTTGATATTGTTCATTCTTGTGCTGGGTAGTGCTGTGCCTGTAAAATAAACAAGTTTTTTCCACTTCTCTCAGAAAAATCTCTTCCCGAACCGATTAGAGGGTGAGAAAAAAAAGCCACGTGAGTTTGCTTCCCAGGGGGAGCCCCATTAGAAGTTTTCTCCTTTTCTCCAAATTCTCCAAATTTGCCCTAAACCAAAACAACAAGTAATTTCAACTTATCAAAACAGAGAAGGACTGTGATTTGCCTTCCACAAATATATTAGCAAGCCAGAGAAGTCAAATATGCTAGAATATTTTTGATACAAGAATAAAATAGTAGACACAAATAAACCTAAGTCAGAATTTTTTTCATTTAAAACCCCAACAGGTTCAACAGACAATTTGTTCAAGTTAGTGGAGGGATTACAGAGTGAGGTCTCCTCTCACAATTAATAACATTCAGCAACTCAGGAAGTCTCCTGCATCTTATATATTGATGAGTGAGAAGCACCCAAAAAATTAGGTATAAAAATATAAGTCAATAATTTCAAACAGCAAAACACAAGCAAAAATCATTATTGAAATCCGCAGTGTTTTTCCTCAGGGAGTTATTCATTCACTCAGTGTTTTTAACAGTAGAATCTGGCACCATATTCCAGTTGCTGCTAATGGGTAAATAATCAGTTTTTACATCATCTTTTCTTATTATATGTGTACCTGCACAGTTGACAATTACTTTGTTACCTCTTTCATTATAGAAGTAATTTTTTTAAATCAATGTATTTCTGACAAAGGTCTACATATTTTATGCTGAAAATATTTACATTCTTTATCTGATAATCTTTCCATGTCACTGAACTACTTTCCTCTTGGTAATCAAGAAAAAAAAAATCCAGAAGAATGGACTCTTTCAGAAATAGAAGAAAACATTTAAGGAGGCTAGTGTATAAGAGATGAATGCACTTCAGTGGAGCACTTATTTAATAGCACAAGTTTGGCCACCATAGAAAAGAAACAAAAAATAATCAATAATTAAAACTTTTTGTAAAGTATAAAAAAACCAAGTTAAACATGAAAAAAAAAGGACACTTACACTTTTACTGGTCTTCAAAATTTAAGAAAACAAAAAGAGTTATGGAGACAGAAGAGCCCTTAAAATCACAAATGTAATTTATTAATAAAATAAATAGGCACTGATTATTTTAATCCTCCACAAATTATTAGGTGACCAAAAAGCCCCAGCAACTTCACAAGAATAGGGGATTTAGCAAAACATTAGAAAATAAAGACTGTGTTCAAAAAAGTGATCAAAAATGGTTAGAACTGAAAAAGAAAAAAAATTCCAATATCCGTATGGGATAATAGGGGTGGCCACTGAGGAAAGTTTAAAACTGTGAGCAGATGGCCCTCTGCTGTTCCATTTGTTCCTTTGCAAACTTTTTTTAAACAGCACTTTTTGAGAGGTTCTTCTGTCAAAAAAGGAACTTTGGGATTTTAGTCCAAAAATAGTATTTTGTTTGCTAGAAGGGAAGTCTGACACAAACAGAGCTAGTTTAATGAAAGCAATAAAAATGGTCTGATGACCATTCATTGTGGCAGCTGAAGAGCTACCCCAAAAAGAGAGGCTCAAAAACCAAAACTGATAGATGCACCAGAACAGCATTTTTCCACATGTCTCTGTCACACAGATTAGAAGATCTTGAGAAATGTATCACTAAGGAAAATAGTACTTCAGCAGTGTTTACTCTGTACTCTAGCAATAAGCCAGATTGCACTGTTTACCACTGTGGGATCTTTTAGACGTTTGCAGTTTTAAACCAGATTCAGTCCTCAGGTTTCCACAAAGGACAACAAACCCAAAAGGTAATGCCATAGGTCCTCATATGAAATTGGAGCCTGCTTAGAGATAGAAATCTTTCTGATGATTTATTTAACACTAGATCCACCAGTGCTAGCTGTGTAGATGTACATACAGCAACTGCCCTTAAAGGTAGGCATGAAAGAAATACCCTCAATCACACATCAGGCCACTTTTTTTTCTTTTTAATGTCAAGTAGAATTACATCACAGAAACCACTTAGGTGACACAAAAAACATGTGGCAGATACAATAACTGTATAAGGCTGTCTTGAACTCATTTTCTTTAAAAAAGCAAATCGGTTTCTTGTAAACAAAATACTAATCTGCTCTTAAAACAAACAAATCAACCAACAAAAAACACTATTAGCAGAAAAGGCCTGGATACCTATCTCCAAAGCACAGATAATAGATGATAATGTTAGTCAGTTGACAAATAGTGAAGCAACTTAGACTAGGATCTCATAAATTAACAAAAAACAGAGATGACAGAAACAACACATCAGTAGTCTCAAAATTTTCTGACTGCTTGAAAGAGACCAAATGATTCTTCCTAGTGTTTATGGAGTCTTTTCTCTACATTCTTTACTTTCTAGGAAATAATTTATATTAGTGTGTTTCCTTACTAAGCACATATCCCTACCTAATCACCTCAGAAGGGGAATTAATTTTGAATACTGAAATCCTACTCATACCTGCTGCAATGCGGAGATGTCAAGCACACCAGTATTTTGAATTCCTTGAAGGAACACTGGAAGCTTTTCCATGACATGGTGGACCTTATTGAGAAGTGAACTGATACTAGAAACCACATCCAGTAGCATATTTAAGATATTGCCAATCTCAGGTGGTATCTGAACCTTGGAAAAGAAGAAGAAAAAAAAAAACCACAGCAAGAAATTCCAGTTAGAAACAAATGTTAACCTTTTAGTGAAACACTCAAAACTATTCAGTCTTTTTCTAAAACTGATTACACAATGTTCCTACAAACCATGTTCAGCAAAACTCCTTTTGATATAATTCCCCAGTTACTCTCAGATTAAGCTCAAGAGAAGTTCTCTGTAATGTAATGTTAGACCTGACTTATGAAAAATCTTAATATTCGGAGAACATGTTTACACCTACCAAGTTGAAGAGAGTCTTTCCAACCCAAGATGCTAATGGAATCTGCAACAATCTATCCTTTTAAAATTCAATGTAAATGGAAACTTTCTTTCACCACTTTAAAAACATTTAATGCAATAACTTCATATTTTAAAAATAATTTATAAGTTAAATTAAAGCTAGAAACTACTTATATTGTTTAATATGACTCCTAAAGTAACTAACTTTCCTGCCACATTCTTCCTGCCTTTGAATTTTTCATGCCCAAAATAATTGTGTGCATTTTATTACCTACTTGACCTAAGTTCAATTGGCTGTTTGCTATTTCCACCATACAAATTTGTCATTAGGGATTTTCTCTCTATTCCCTTTGCTTTTGGGGATTAGCTAGATGATACAATAATACAAACTGATTCATTGTTACCTCTCTATGCAAAATAATAAAACCACTACAATCTCATTATATAGTTTCAGTTCTTCCTCTTATTAGCGACTTTATTCACCTTTGTTTTCCTACTTAAATGTCTGTGCTTGATTTTCTTCCCAGCTTTACCACTTTACCAGCTATTACATAGTAAAAATAAAAATAATAAAAAAAAAATTAAAGACACCCATAGAAAAAAATCTTATTTGGTTAAAAAAGTAGCAGAATTTCTGTTATAATTTAGGATGAGCTGACAACATTTTTCACTCTTTGCTAGGACTTGATTAGGTTTCTGTTGAGTTCAGCAGAAACGCTCATCAGAATAAGCACTGGTTTATTTTCTTCTTTTTTTTTTCCCCCTTCTAGGTTTGCAGATAATTCAGAAAGTAAAACATTTTCTTTTTCATCTGGTATCTTTACCTGTTCTGGGAAATTGTTGTGTTTTTAAAATCCTATGTCTAACCTGCTTACCTGAGCATGCAGCATCCAGAATATAATCAGACCCCTATGGCTTTAGAAGAAAACATTCTTCCTCACATATAAGTATGTTTCAGCTATTCATGCTTAAATTTTGTGTTCTGTCAATCATTTACCCCCAAAAGAACTAAATAATCCTATCTAATAATTAGAATCTAACTATCCCATTCAATAACTCTGCTCTTACAGATAAAACCATTATCTCACTGAATACCCATACTAGATTCCAGACTATCTACAGTTTTACAGATAATACAGTTGTGCTACAGACATCTGCCATCCACCATGCTAAGAATTCTTCCTAGAAAATAATTTTTTATCTTTCTTGTAATGTGAGCTCCTATGCTGGTTTTAGTGCAAGTGTTGTCAGATCAGTCTTCTACTCTTAAAAATAATGAAGTGACTAATTGCATGAACTGCAAACTCTGCTAAGGATTAATAAAATTATGTTTGACCTCCTATGTTTTCTGCAAAGCTTTCATCATTAACTCCTCAGTGATAATTTTCCTGAGGAAGCATCTATCAGCCCCATTCTTCAACCATTATATTTTGGGAAGCCAAGCGAATACAAAAAATGCCATATGTCCACTGTTTGCTTTCACGGAGAAAGAATACCTGAAGAAATAATAGAATTATTAATCTATATACATGTATGTTTCATACCACCTTCAAATAAAACCATCGTACCTTGTAAATGATGTGACGTACATTGAAATTTTGTATAATCAATACAAACATGGTATAAAAGTCCAGTGCTGATAAAGAACATAATTCTTCCACTACCAGGGAAGTTCTATTGTTTTCAGGCAGCTTTAGCACCAGGCTAAGTACTTCTTCATCACATCTTCCAGTTAAAGCTACTGCAAAGGCACTGTAAAGAACCTACCACGACATAACAACATATTGGTATTAAAAAAATTTCTAACTGAAATGCGTCACTATTTTTACTGTCAATAAGGTGAGAATTTGTGTCACAGTAACATGACAATTTGCAGGCACCAACAGACCTGAAATAATAAACCATAAAGCTTTATATCAGATTGCTATATTCTTACTTTATAGTTCTTGTAGAAGTAAAAAAATGAAGTATATTTCTTATAAGGATTTGATTTTATTTTTCACAAATCAATCATTCATTCTTGAGTATTCATACCATAAGCAGGCATATTTACAATGCTGAGCATACTCCTTCTAGCAGATGTACACCTCTGCTGTAGAAACACCTGAAGATCAAAACCTAGGCATGTGGAATCATTAACATCAAACAACATGGTCCTTCCGGTCACTGCCGGACACGAAATGATTCATACAGACACAGCTCGAAGTGTGATGTGATGAAAGAAGAACGTTTATTCTGTCCTTTCAGTATTTACAGATTTTCGACACCAACCAGGGATTGGATAGTCAGGTTACCACCTTCCCAACCACACTGACCATGACAGACATCCATCAAAAAGCATATCTTTAATGGAATGTGTAAACATCTGACTTGAACCCCAGAGTGTTTCAGCTAGCTCAATGAACACTCTGGCTCGGAGCCAGCAGAGTATTTGGGCTCACTGATCCACTTTTGGAATTCAAGTCTCTCGAACGAGTAAAGAAACAAGGGGGGGACCCCTGGGTTATGTTCCACAGTTTATTTCTGTGAAGGGAACCTTAGAGAGCAAGACGAAGGGTCTGGGGTCTGGGAGTTTCTTTTAACAGGGTTTCTTCGGCGTGTGGGAACATCAGAGAGACCCAATTGTTTTTCCCAGATAGCACATTTACAAACTTTCTACAAATCAAGGTTAAGCACACTAAGATAAGAAATAACAGAAACAGGCTTCTTCAAATGCCCACAGAGGTACAGGAGCGAGCTCACAGAGGAGGCAGCGGGGGGACATGGTATGCAGAGGGAGCTTGATAATGTAGGAGGGAAAGAAAAGGGGGGAAAATTATCCACCCGGCTTCTTTAGCTGGGACACAGGAACCGGAAAGTACAAGGAAACCCAGAGGCAATCTGGGGCCGGGGGGAACAAAGCTGCAAGCTCCCGCACCGGAGAGCGGGCTTCTGCCGCTACTACCCCCGCGCTTTCCCGGGCTAAAGAAACTCCAAGCAGCTGGAAATACCAGCGGAGTTTTTTCTCCACTCCCTCGGGCTTCCTGCTGCTTCACGCTGCGGGGCCGAGCGGGAGGGGAGCGTCAGCCCGACCCTCCACGGTGGCAAGGATACAAACAGAAGGGTCTGTGGAAGAAAACTTAGGTAACCATAGTAACTTGCCTCTCGGCAAGAAGCCGGGAGAAAAGGGGAGGGGAAAAAAGCCGCGACTTGGAGAGGGGGAAAGGTACATTCCAAGCTATCAACTACTAACATAAAATAACTTAATAATATTCTAACAACCCTTACTGTAACAAACATCTATGTTTATAGTTACTTCCCTGGGAAAGTGGCTAGAAGTTATGAAAACAGTATCAAAAGATCTGATTCTCAGGAGGCACCTTCCTTCTTTCAAAGGACAAACAAGTTTAACACTTGGGGATGCCTATACGACACAACATCTAGTGTGAGCCAGCTCACACTTCTCAGTTAAACAGTGCTTTAAAGTATTATTTATTAGCAGATGAAGGGACAAATGCCTAAAGCAGACCTTGGGTGAGACTATAATAAAACCATCTTGGATAATGGCAAGTGCTTGAAGTCCATATATCTCAGGACTTCTTAGCTACCCATTGTCAACAAGTCCAGAAAAATTACAAGTTTTTTAGGAGCCTGTAGAAGCCAAAGTACAGGGCTCCATTGTACTTCTTAGGACAGAATCCACCTCTACCACTTCCACTGAATGTATCTCTTGCTGCTGACAGTACCCAGTCAGGTAGAAGATCTGCAAGACAGTCAAGATATGCAATTTAACACTAACTCCTATGAACATTTTATTTTCCAACTTAGTAATTCGATTTTTTGGTTTTCATTCTGGAACGGAATTTTGCCTTTGTGATTCTATAAGGTTTTCTATATATTTAAAGATTCACTTTTTTGTGTGTGCATTCAATGAACATAATTCTATGAGCAGCATAAGATGATACAGATTTTGACTTCTTGCTGGAGGGAAAATTTGACTGTGATGCAATTTGAAATTTATTTGAAATGTGCCTCACATGAATATCACCATTTCATTGCCATTTTAACACATTTTTTGTTTTATCCCCTAGGTTTAGGTACTCTGAACTTTCCTTGCAGCTTTCTGAGTATCAGAGCTAATCCAAACTCCTACATTCAGTAAATTTATGCTTATAGTCTTTGGGTAATAGAATTCAAGTGATTTCAGATCACTCCATCACGTGGCAATGAGCATGGCCAGCATGTAACATCATGGCAGAAATTATGGGTAAGTATAATAAGCACAAAGAATTCCTGGGCTTAGTCTTACTGTTCCAGAGACAAGCACAGTAGTAGTATATAATCACAGAAATATAGGGCTACAATGGGCCTATAGCTATCATCAGGTTATCAGACAGTGGCTGTATAGACAATAAACATAATAGGTATACTTAAAATATAGCTCTAAAAAGTACTTGTGTAGCTTTCCTAATCAATAAGAGACACAGGCTTTTAATGCTCCAGTTGGACTGGGGAAGGATTTAAGCACTGAGCAAACAAAAAATTCTGTATAGTTATCCAAATGCAAGATGTGTGTATATGTTTAAACTCTAAATATGACTGGCAAAAAGTAAGGACAGAAAGTAATCTGACAATTCAGTGACTTAGCATTATTATTCCAAGGGAGCAAAGGTGTACTGAATCCCATTTAACTGAATTGCTTTCAGATGACTTCTCTCATTACCATTTAGTGGTATCACAATAGCAAGCTAACAATAAAGGCAATCACACTGCCACAGAAGCAGAACAAACCACCTATAAGCAGTTACGATTGTCTGAACTGCATTTTTAATATTGCACCTTATGCGAATAGAGCTTGCAGTAGTTTCTGAAAGTGGAACATCACTGCCATCCAGTGGCTGCTTGACTGAACTGATCAATTTACACCAAATTTACCCTCAGCTCTTAAACAGACGCAGCAGACAGAACCTATTAGTCATCACTGGGGTCACAGTCAAAAGCAACGGTACGACACAACCTTTCCTTCAGAAAACTTAAAATACTCAAGAGTCAACAACTCAAAGTGAAAGTAAAGCAAGACAGTAATGCAAGACAGATAATGCAAGAACAGTGAGGAGCACACAAAAGAATTTAAAAAATATATACATAAGACAACTCCATGCTGCAAGAAGGGGAGATGGTAAGGTACAAAATTATATCTCCAGAAACTCACATCTTTTCTACAATACCAAGACAGCAAAGCTCAAATTCTGTGTCATTACTAGAGGGTAATACACTGCTGAAAGTAATGAAGCAGTGCCATTTAGATCAGAGGAACAGTGCTACTATAAAACTGATCTCTTAATGCATCACATTATTACTTTGAAGTCCTAAAATTCCTGGAGTATTTCACATGGAAGTGGTAAGTGAAATTGTAATATTCCACACAAACAACATGGCTTGTTTTGTTTCAGCTGGCATACCATGTTATAGGTTGACCCACTAATTTGACACCTCTTTTTGATCTTTTACCTCTGAATAAGAGACTCTGACTTCTAAGAGGGTATTGACAGTTTCTTCAGAAATATTGACAGAAGAACCAATGTCCAGCCTTAACTGAGTGATATTCTGCACAAAATCTTTGATTTTCACATCTGGAAGAGGAAAAAATAGTACTGATATCATCAAATTGATTAATTAGACTTCCTACAGATTGTATCCCTTTCATTCAATTCACTGTGAGTGACAATATTGGCTTATGTCAATAGTCTCCATAAACAGTATCCCTTTGAATTTGAAAGAACAAAGAAACAGTTATTGTCCTACAAAATTACACTAGAGTGACTTACAGAAAAAATGCAGAAAACTGGAACCCACCATTCACAAGATTAAAATTGCTGAAGAAAGGTGCTGCTGGATTTTCCAACAATTGTAGCTCCAGATTTTCAGTCACCCTGGAATAATAGCCTTAGTTTCACAAGTTATCAGAACCAAGTCATTGGCATTTTAACGTATAAAGATTAACATTAATAGTGAAATAGAACTAAAAGAGAAAATAGGTCCCATTATGCTCTGTGTGCGCACACTGTGCATGTAGCCAGCACCTCTACAGACCTTCTCATCTGGTATTTATATGGTGTAATGGTCATCATATTTAATGCCGAAATGAGACTGTATATATAGAGATACACAGGTATATCTCTACATATATATATGTATTTAGAGATAGATTCCCATAATGACTAAGTGCCCTAGTAAACAGTAGGCTAACAGTAGCAAACTCATAGCTTACAGAGAAGGACAGGTCTAGCAATATCTCACTTCCATGTTTCTTACTGAAGGCACATTTTTAAAACCTAGAGATAGAAATGGCTGCAGTTTAGGATGAAAAAAAAGTCTGTCTAATATAAGTCATAAAAAGTATGCACACATTAGATATGATTTTTCTCTTCAAAACTGGACATGAGCCCTTGGTATTTAGGAGCAGCATCTAGGCTCTAGTTCTTCTGTATTATTACTGTAATTCAGAGACACCATTCAAGCCTGTTATGAAAACAATCCAACAGTCAAACCAGCATAGAAACAATTACAACAATGTCTACTTCTAGCTGATTGCAAATTTGAAATACTCTGTAGTAGCAGCTTTACTTAAAATTTAATTGTTTTCCCCATGCAAATAACAACTATCAGAAAGTTGTTTCGAGTTCAATCCCATCAGTTTACAATCACTGTACTGTGTTTCTAGTTCTTTAAACAGCTGAACTGATCTGATTGCTTAATATTTCACAAAAAGATATTCAGCTATTGAGAGAAAAAGCCATATTAAAAGAGCTATAAATAAAAAATTTAGATATCAAAATTTTGACCTAACTGAAGTCACAGGAAATTGAAAATTTTCTTAGTTGCAATCCAAAGCATTCAGCTGGTGGAGCAGCAAGATCAGCTGCAAGTGCTTGGCAAAAAATATAAGGGTTTTTAGAAATATTCAGTTATTCTAAATTACTTCAATAATTTGTACATTTTATCCACTCAGTTTTAAGTTAAATGAACAAAGCTTAAAAAGACAGTATTTCTCCTGTAATTACTTAATTTAGACCACAGACATATGCAGAGAATAACATCACCAATGATGAACAATTTGGGGTACCAAAATGTGAAAGGTTTTACATTTGCAGTTGTCTCTGAATGTTCCCCATCATTAGCTGGCATTGACAGTTGTCAGTGTTGGTATTCTGCAAGGCTTCCATGAGGTTCTCCAAAACATTGGAAAGTTTTTGGTTTATATGTACCATACTCTCACAATCCCCCTTGTTGAAAGCAGGCAAGTATCTTCTAACATCCTGAAGAACACAATGATCACATGGTTAGTAAATTCATGAGATTGTGTTATAGTTTGAAGTAGCAGCCCTCAGCTACTAGATGATTCTTATTTTCAAATGAGAATATGGGTAAGGTAATATTTTCTTAGTCATTGTATGATTAACTGAAGCCAGATTAAATGTTTTCAAGAACCAAGGAATTTTCAATTATTTGAGTTTTGGAAACAATCAGATTGGGAACTAAGACTAGCTGGTCAAGGAGAGTCATCTACTAATAAAAATGCCAACTTTTTAAAATTAGTTTCAAACCTGAAATAAACTATTCTTTTTCATTTTGTCTTTTTTTTTTCAGTCTGATCGTTTTTATATTTTTTTAAAAAAATTGTTTTGAACATCCGTTTCCATTCAACAAAACAAAATATTTGGATCCTCAAATCCAAAGTTTTTCATGCATTATGCTTTGTATAGCATGCGCTTTTCTATTTTCTCCTGAATACTTATAATTTTGATTTTGCCAAGCTTTTTTTAATATTTTCAGAATTAGGTCAGAGAAGGGTGGTGACTACACAAATGCATTTGGCCTACAGAAATCCGCTTTGAGATATGAGTGATGACATTTGTCATTGTTTACTTTATTACATGCTGTTGGGATCAGAGAAATGTCCACATAGACAAAGCTGCAGAGCTATTTAACAAAGAGAAGACAAATTCTATGCTAAAAAGCATGACCTTAGTATTTTGTCTGTGTACACATACATGTGCTATCCAAAGGCCTGCTTCCAATTCTAGGTGAGTCTCTATATGCCAAATATTACTCTCACCTGCTGACAATTTCATGTTAAAGAAAAACAGACTGAACCCAACTGGTAATCATAACTGCTATTTTAGCCAGAATTATTCTAGCCAAGAAGCTTATTTTTTTCCAGTTTAATTTCACAAATGTTCCTGTGAAGGTTTAAAAGTAAAATAATATATAAAAGTAAAAAAATAAAATAATATATAAAACAATATAAATGTATAAATTAAATGTATAATATAAATGTACTATAACTCATTAAATTAGCAGAATGACAGAATTTAAAGAAATTAAAAATGGGCTGCTGTTTGACATTGATTGACAATCCAATTATTCTAGTTATAGGACTTCTAATAATTCAGAGTCATACTTACAGCTTGTAAAGCTCACCAGTCTTTATTTTAGGAATTTCTTTGGGGTATCTCTATCAAAATTATCAGAGCTATAGCTATTTAAGCCTCAGGTTTCTACAGCCACTGTGGGGACTTTCATTCAGACAGTGGGAAAAAAAAGGAAATTTTCATTAGTTTCCAAAGTTTAATGCATGTTGTAAAGTACACTTGTAGGTGAGGGTCTCAGTAAAGGAGTCAAACTGATTCACATGAATGCCTCTCAGTGTTAAAACAGGAAAGAAGAAGCTTTATTCTGTGACTCCAGTATTTATAGATTCTTGACAATGACCAGGGATTGGATAATTAAGTTACAATCACACTGGTCATGCAAAATGTCCATGAAAAGACGTTTCTTAGAAGGAACATAAACAACTTACATTTATAAAACTTTCATGGGAAAGTAACTAAAACTATGAAAACATTATCAGAAGGCTTTAGTTTTCAGGGCAACAGTGAGGGAATCATTCCGACCTGAAAATGATCTTGAACCACGGCAATCCCTTCAAAGACAGCAAGGAGCAAGTGACTCATTAATCCATCTTTACACTTTTTAATGGCACAGAAAATGTTGCTAAAGACAATGGGCTCTTCTGTAAGAGAAAATGTCCAGACTTAATCAGTTAAAAAAACCCAAGAACTTGAAAACTAACTAAAGGTTACCCAACTAATAAGGGACAGAAAAATTTTTAAAAGCAAGAAACATCTGATGTGTTAAGCCACAGAGAAATATTTCTTACTAAATTCATGTATCATTTCAGAGGACAAGGCAGGCTGGTTTGATTCAATTTCAGTTACTCTTCTCCATTACATTTTCCTGACCAGTAATAAGAACATCCCTACCTGATACAGAACCAGAGTAGAAAATTTCATATTTGCTCTTCAAGAGCAAGAAGCATAACTGTGAGAAGCTGAGTATATTAACCACATCTACCTTTTCCTTGGGCAGGCTCCCCTGATAGCATTTCCCTATAGGAACACCTGGGTGTTATTAACCCTTCGGTGAGCAGTAACTTTCAAACCTAGGGGAGTGAAACAGCATTACATAAGATTTTCCATATTTTAGGATAATGAACCCATATAGGATGATAGTCACCCATGGAGGCTATTTCTACTCAAGCCTGCAGCTTGCACCACATCCTTGGAAAAAGCCTCTGTTTCGCTGGCTGCAGTGGATTTGTACATAGAATAGTAGTGAAAGAATTTGACTTGACTGCTGAATTCTCATTCAATTTTTTCAAATATGTTTCTTTTTTTTTTCCTTAAGTTTGGTTCTTAAGTAAATAGGAAGAATAATAAACATGAAACACTGCTTCTAAAACAAGTAAACCTTGATCTTGCTCATAGAAGTAATACAATACAATTCCTCAAATCAAACCAAATCAAGCAGTTTTCATCTTTTCTCATTAGGTTTCACAATGTTTTTTGTAACTAATGAAACATTCCCACAAACAGAGGATTGAAATAAGCATGTCTTACTCCTTGGAACTACATCCATCACAGGAGAGTGGAGAAGACAGTCAAAATTGGGTTGTAATCACATCTTATACTCTTTTGGAAATTCATTTGACATAAAATATTCCAGATCTCATCCCTTGCTCTAGAAGGGCAGGTTAATGCCTCATAATTGCTCTTTGCAAACAATTCTGGGCATAGTTGGCTAAAGTATGAGCTTTGAAAAGCACTGGCATTTGTTATCCAAAGAAAATATAATATGAAATTATACTCAGGTCAAAATAGAGCCTTTCTTGAAGTACGCAACTTGGGAGCATATACATAAGGAATAAAACAAGGTAACACATTAAAATTTGAACAATTCGTTCAAATAGTGAAAGAGAAGTAAAAGAGAAAATAGGGTCCCATTATGCTCTGTGTGCAGACACCGTGCATGCAGTCACCATTTCTACAGACCTTCACCTGAAGGTGAAGTTTTCAGCTACAGGTAGCAAATTCACTGGTGTGACATGGCCAGAAATGGAAGATGCTTTTTCCTTTAAATACCTGCCCCATTTTTCCTTACTGTCAACTACACACTGCCCTGTGGCAAGTCCGCCTCATTAAAAGAAATGATCCTGTGACTTGACTCAGCTCACTAGCTGAGAAGGAGCAGCAAGATCTCCTGCTTTCACTGGGATTTTAAATCTACATGAACACTCCAGAAAGAAATCATTCCTTTGTATGATCTGCAATCAGATTTTTTTTCCTGTGCCTCTGCTGGTTTAATTTCTAGACATCAGTATGCTTGCCTTGCTTGGCATCACCCAAATTACCTTATTTGTATGAAAGTTTGATCAGAGTAAAGCCTTAACCTAACAGCAGTAATACATAGGGACTCCGAGTCAATACTGTGGTAACCAACCTGAAAAGATTTTGAGAATATTCAAAATGGCAAATTGCAATTCCTGCAATAATATGATGCTATCTGGGTATAAACTTTCCTGAAGAATATTGCAGATTTTAGATGCTCTGTAGAAACATCAATAAGAAAACATTATTTTCATTCCAAGGGTACCACAGAAAAATTTCAAGAACTGACAATGCACAAATGCAGTCTTCAATGAGCCACACAAGGATTTCAATATTAAGAGTTATTACATTTGTTTTAACTATTTAAAAAACTGAATATAATACTTCCCTGTTAGAAAAATATACTCCAGGTGCGCTAGAAAATACCGTCACAAAATAAGCAAAATTGTAATAGGTTCAGAAATACTGAGAGCCCAAAATAAGTTGACTTGATGGTAAAAAGCAGATAATCAGCATGTAGGAGAAAATAAACCACTTTTCTAGTACTTGCTTTTGGTATTTTTCAACAGATTAGGTTAATACTTGACCCTGATGGACAATGATTTTATGTATTTGCATGAAATTAATCACGAAGGTCAAAATACCACATCAGAGCATCAACTTTACAATGCTGTTTCTTAGCTGGTTTATGTCAGTGGACCAGTAGCACCACCAGCAAGATACCCTAGAGCTGTTTGGAGCAACTAATTGTGGGCTCATTCAATATTGTTTAAATGCAGCAACTCCAGTCCAGCAGCCTATTTATTAAGTAAACAATCAGTAACTCTGAAGCAGTTTCCTCTGCTTCTGAATTTCTGATCTGAATAATCAGGCAGAAGTGACCATGGACTCAAGATTCCTTCAGATAGTGGATTTGTTAAATTTAACAACTTAATAACCATAAGACATCAACAAATTTAAGTTAAAGGAAATTTGTAGAGCTATATTTGGATATAGAAAAAAACCTCCATGCATACCACAAAGAATTGGGCCCAAGAATTCCTCAACATTTAGCTCTGTAGGCAAAAATGACTGTTGCCTGCCAATTAGTGGGGGTTCAGTATTCAGATTTGCAAGGATTTTAAAATACAAGTACATTCAAAATAATTGTTTCTAGAATAGTTCCAAAGAAACCAGTTCAAGTGTCAATACATATGACTAAACACATATAGTAAACATAAACTAAACACAATAATTTGGTCCACACAATGTGTTCTGATACCAAATATGGCTGGTATGAACAACATAAGTTGGAACAAATCTGAAATGAAACACTAATTAACTTAATAAAAGTTCTGATAGAGTTGGTCATAAACAGAGAGTCCTTCTGTCATTGTCAGCACACTTCCCAAAATGAGTACATGGAAAACACTCACCTTAGTTTTGCCATTACATCCTTATGCAAATTCATTAATAAGAGTTTTATTTTATTCCTGTCACGTTCTGCAGTAGACTGAAATATTATTTGCAAAATCTCTTGTATGATCTCCAGACTTCTACTTTGAGACTGAGTAGAAATGTCTCTATATGGTACATTATAAAAAAATGAATCAATGAAGTCAACTTTATGAAGCTTAGTATTGTTTGTACGCATAGCTTCTTCTACAAGATCAATATCAGCAATTATATGAAGGAGGCTGTTAGGCAAAACTGAAAAAGCAGCATGAGTATTATTCAATTTTGCTCTGCTAAAATGACTATCACCAAACAATATACCAGTGTAGTCCTTCTTAGACTTATTTTGGAATAGCTCCAGAAAGGCAATAACATCTTTGACAGCCAGCAGTAGGTCATTTGATGAACTTTCATTAGTCATAAGGAGAATTAGAGTATGCATTATTTTAGAATAATTTTTATTGTTACAGTCACATAGAACGCTCTTCACCATGTCTTGTATATCTTCAAAATTTCTTGATATAGCATCTACAGATGATGTCTTAAACTGCTCTAGTAAAACATCAGAAGCCACTGAAGAGGACTGTCCAGTGGCAAACTTTAGTAATTGAAACTCCTGATCTATCACCACAAGTAAGTGTCTAACACTAAAATTCACCAATAAATTTTCTTTGCTTGAAACTACAGGAAACCATAAATTCTCAAAGTTGTTAGCTATATTGATACTCCCACTTAAAGCTGATATTGTCATAAGCATTGAGTGTGTCTGGTTTCCAATAGATGACAGTGACATTAAAGGCTGAATTACAGAAAGAAAAGAAAGGACAGCTTCAGTATTCAGGAGTCTAGAAACTTCACTGGTCATATCCTTCACGTTAGTAAGAACACTCTCAAATGATGTTCTTGACTCTCTGTTCCAAGTTAGGCCACCATAAAGATTATCCAGCTGTTCAAGAAGACTTTTGGCCATCTCCACATCCGATGCCAAAATGCTGTCCAGAGTTTCTATAATTTGTAAAGCCATTCGGCTCTTAGGTGTGGAGGAACAATTGATTGCGTGCGTATTATTCACCTGCAGTGGCACAGCATAAAGGGATAGCTTATTCCAAAAATCTAGCAGCTCTTTGAGAACTGAGCTATTTGTATGATGGAGCTCAGAAAACTTCAAAATTATAGAGTTCCATTCTTTGATCTGATGAAAAAAGCAAGTCAGATTGCGAGTGATATCCATCTGAATGTCCTCCATAAAGCAAGCAAAACTGTCATCCAGAGTGATGAGTTTAAGCTCCTTAATGATTTGAATGACTGAATTATAATGAAGAGTAGAATTGGTATGCACAAAGTCACAAGGTTTAACAGTGGGATCATTCTGAGGTGTTGCTGTTGTGAGAGTCCAGCAGAATGCTGCAGAAAAACAAACAGAGGCCTCTCCAGATTCATCAGAGATGTCTGCCAATGTCTCCAGCAATGTTAGAAGACTATCTATTTGGGTTGAGAACTCCTCATCAGTAAACAGAGGCATTTTTTCTTCCTGAGTCACTATGAAAGCGTATATTTCAGTAAGTGCTTCTGTAATGTTTCCATGAGCCAGTCTTTCTGTAAGGCTGATGACATCAAAGAGGATGTTGAACACATCTTCAGTATTGTAGAGCTCATCTTGTTCAAAAAGCTGTGTTATTTGCTGTACAGCAGTCAGGTTCCAGTAACATGATACGTTCTCAAGTATATCCCACCAGTCTATTAAAGTACCTAACTCAGAGTTCGCAAGAGAAAAATATTTGATATTTTTAAATAAATTTTCTAGGTTCTCCTGGACCTGTTTGAATCTACTTATCAAAAACTCAACATCCATTTTTCTCACATTTTGCACCAAGGCAACCATATGCTTTAGAAACTCCTTTTCATCTCTTAATGGAAAGACAGTAAAAGTAGGAGTCTTGAAAATTTCAAGTACCTTCCTTACCAGTTCAATATTCAGACCTGCTGTTTCTATCAGTTTCTGAGGAAATGTTTTGTGTTCATTCTGCAAGTTTGAGTCAAGTTTTCTAATCATATATTGAAAGAATTCCATCAGCAAACTGATATTTTTCCCATGCAAGAAAGGTTCAATCTCCTTGTCCAAATGAGAGGAGCTGTTTTCTTGGACTTCAAAAGTCTCATTTTTCAGAAGACTTTGAATTTCTAACAAAAGTTCCGCTGATATAAGATGAATGTGGTGAAAAGGATTAAGGAGCATTCTTGAAGTCCTGTTAAAACCACGGGTTGACTGACTAAAATGGGTCTTATTTGACATATACAATGAACTCCCAAACAAATCACTGACAATAGTTTGTATTTGCTCTCCAGAATTATTTAAAAGTCTAAAAATAAGTTCAAGCACATTAATGACATCTTTCACATAAAATTCAGGGAGAATAAATTTCAAAGTTTTTGCTATGATATTGAAATAAACACTTACACAAATCACATCAGAACCACCTAGGGAACATTCAGGGAGTATCAAATTAAAAACAAATTTAACAAAGTCCATCACATTCATTAGCTTAGCATCTGTCTCAGCATTTCCCAGAGACTGCAGAAGAATTAAAATATGTTTTGCACTTTCAAGGTGGGAAGGTGACTTGTATTTTTCAATGAGATTACTTAATCCATGTATCCATGTGTTACAATCCTCTGCTTCATCCATTGTACTGTGAAAGTTTAGAAAGAAGTTAAGATGAGATGAAAAATTTGTTTGCAAGTAGCCTACGTCTTTCAGAGTATTATCCAAAATTAGTTTGGTAATATTCTGGAAAATGCTGATGCAAACCACATATTTGTCCTGAAGTACACTTTTTAAAAAAGCAGATGTATCATTTATCTCAGTGACCATAATTTCAAGTTCCTTTTGGGAGAGCTTAAGAACAGTAGAAAGGGAATTTCCAATGGAAAATACACTAACACCCTTATCTTCTCCTTCAGAACCTCCTGAAATGAAAGCATCAAGCCATAAATTCAAAAACTCTTCATTAACAATTTTCAGTATGGATTTCTGCATTTTAGTTATTGCAACTCCCATTGTCTCTAAAACACTTTCTAAACTCCTATCTTTAAGCAAGTTTGTGACATCAAATGCATTGTTAATTACCCTTTGAAGATTAACAAGGAAAGCCTCAAAATCTTTCAAGTCATTTAAATTGCCATGTTCCTGAAATAGAAATTTTAATAGCTTCATTGCTGTTCCTGTAGCTTCAACAATAGCCATAGCTGTATTATTGCACAGTTCATCTTGAGTTATGTTTAAAATGTTTTCAGAGAGATATGTCAAATCATCTCTTAGGCAGACAAAACAAGTTGAATTCAAATTTAAGATTTCTGATGCTTCTTCAAAAATCTCTGTCCACGTTTGAAGCCATGTAAAAGTGCAGTGCAAAGCAGAAGGCACACTTATCTTATCTCCCCAGTTTATTACATTAGACAGGACACTGTTCAATGGAAGCAGAAATAAGTTATAAATCTCTGCTGAATGTTGTTCAGAACTCATATTTTCTAGATAAAAATCAGCACACACATTATTTACCAGGCATTCTGGAGACAGATCAAAAAATTCTTCCAAATAACATAAGGCAGCTGTTTGGAGCTCTTCATCTATAAATAAAGTTTTAAGGCTGCTTAGAGTGTCATAAACAACTTGTATATCTTCTTTTCCATTCTGTACAAGGAACTCTGCCTGAAACACTGTGTAGTTATAAATTAATAGTAACTTTTCACAGAGGGACTTACTGGTGAGGTTCCAGAGAAGATTGAAAGTTTCAAAAAGAAAGTCAAAAACTATTTCCTTATTTTGCAAATCATGCCATACTTGAGAAGATGACATACTTTTTGAAGTCTCATAAAGAAGTTTTAACAGAGTGTTATTGCTTTTAATATCTAAAATCAGATCATAATTCTGGTACAGAGAGAAAATGTTTGGTACAAATGAGGCCACACTAGTATCATTTAAATTTTGGATATTTCTGAGGAAATCATGCACAATTTCTCCTAATTCTTGCACCTTATACATAAAAGTTGCATTTGAGAGAAATAAAGAGGTATTACTCACTCCAGGAATTGTGCTAAATGACACATTGACATGATCACCAGACAAAGATCTAACTTCACAGAGATTTATTTGGAAGTGTCCACTTAAATGCTTTAAGTGGTCCAAAGCAGTAATATTTAACTCTGGCCAATCGGTCAGGGTATTTTTGAGCAACGCCATACTTCTATTAAAGATTTTATTTTCTGTAATAGAAGATAAAATTCTACATAAGGTCTCAATTAACTCTTCCTCTTCTACTTGACTCAGCAAAGAAACCCTAGAATCAAGTTCATGGAATACAATTTCTATGGTATGCCAGAAAAGTTCTGCCCTCTTTTTTGTCCAGAAACTCTGAAGAGGCTGGAAATCTTTTTGTAGCTCATTATAAAGTTCAGAAACTGCAAGTGAGAAATTGGTGGCAGATTCCTCCCCCTCAGTAAAATTTTTTATCCACGTAATTGCATTATTCAAGGCATTTTCAATTAGAGACTTGTTTTTAGAAAATGAGAAATCAAACATAATTTTTTCTATGACTTCTACAAGATGAAAGAGGTGAACCCTTTTCTTTTCACCAGAAATCCTCAAGTTTTCTTCTGTTTTCAAAAACGCTTTGAAAGATGTCAAAATCCTGAAAAATTAACAGCAAATTTTTTTATTGTTAGTTACCTAGCAGACAGACAAGAATGTTTTTAACTACATATTATTTAATATTAGAATCTAGGTTTATTTACTTAATTCAAGACAATTCCAAATATAACTTAAGTAGCAGTCACTACAAAATCTGAATTAGCAAAACTTGACAATTGCACTGGTTTTCAAAAAATGTGAAAAAAACCTACTGGAAAGTCACAACTTCATTCAAATAAAAACCTGAATGTAGACAGCAGTTAAAGAATTGTGCATTTATCAGGACTTATAATCAAGCTTGTAAGCCACAGAGTCCAACACCTTTGAGTACACCCCATTTTCATCTGCTGAAAAGAACAAGGCTTTTATGTTTCACAGACTAATTATTTTACAGACAGGAATGTACCAGTTGACTGCCTGATAGCTGAACATTGCTATTTTAGTATCAACAAAAACATGAAATCACTGTGAAAATCGGAATGCACCAACTGATCTTTCTATTGTGTCAGTATTATTTATCAAAAGAAAAAACAATTACTGTCTCTAAGATTAGTCAAGAGGAGGTGCATGGAAAAAAGAATCTTTGAATGTAAAGGCCTCAAGTCGAAAATATTTTCTCCTTAAATATATTTTCTTTCTCTCCAGACTGCAATCACCAGAGTTAGAGCACAGAAACATTGTGTACTGCAAGTAAAAGGGTAAAACTGCTAAAAAACCCTTTGTTGTTGCTTGCAACTGCAGCAGCACAGCAGTCTCCTTTTATAATTTAGAACCAAATTTCAAAACCCCCTACTAAATTTTTGAAAAACTTGACTGCAATCTCTCTTACTAGTTGGTAACGGATTATTTCTTTCAGATTTACCCTCAGATGTTGATTTGTATAGCATGAATCATATCTCCTCCAGTTACAGTGTTTGTTATGAACAAGTAATTAGAAGCAGTGAGAAACCAAGGCCAATATTATAACTTCAGGAAGCAATGCAAGTTATCCAGTGTGTAGTTAGAAAGAGGAAAGTATCAGTTCCTGTGCTCTGCCATAGACCTTTCTTGAGGCTCTGCCAACTCTGACAAACATTAACTCCCTTTATGTACAACTTAACTCCTCTGTAGAACCTGTCAGATGAGGAAGATTCGAACATATTCTTAATATGTTTGACAAAACATATTCTTAATAAGAAAGGGCTTATAGCCACACCTTCATATAAAGTGTTTACATTTACATTAAGTGATGAACCAAACAGAGAACTTGAAACTGTAAGTTTCAACTTCAAAACCATCCAAAGAAATCATAGTCTCAGAGTGCCCTAGATGAGATTGCAAACTACATATGTACAACTTATTCTATGTGTTTAAAACTGTTTTCCATAGTTTGTAGCTGTTGCTGTAGGCTTCTGTTATAAGATTTCCTGCACAACTGAGGTTGACTTCTACAATAAAAATTCTAATTATTTCACATGCACTGGACTTGCTATACATGAGAAGTATTAGAGTCTACAACTCTTGTGGGAATTAAACTTTGTTGCAGAACAAGATAAAGAATTCAGGTCCTAGTTCAGAATGCCAATTATCCATAGCTGCTGATTCCTGTGAGTCCTGATCATGTAGTAGCCACATCCTCTGCTGAGCCTGTTGGAAGATATACTCTGAAGCAAAAATTTCTTTTCTGGAACATGTAAGCATCAGCACAATCATTTGACTGCATACAAGGTTTTGAACTATAGAATAAAAAATAAAAACACATAACAGACAAAAAACCAGAAATCAATTAAATGCAAAGTGAAAACAAATATTCAGGTTGATCTACTATTCTAAGAGAAGTTGCGGAAAGGTAAGTATAACTTGCCAATCATGAGATGAAACATATCCTTCTGAAAAATAGGCATCTGATTTCTCATTCCATTGCTGGATCAGGGTATTTATCTCTGAAAATAGTTTCCTGACTTCTTTGTCATCTAGAAATTGAGACATTAAATCAGCCATGATTCTTCTAAGTTCCAAAAGGAGATTCTGAGAGAGACTGCTGCTGCCAAGCCATTGGTCAAGTATCTAGAGGATTGAATGCAAAACAGAACATCTCATTAATCAAAGCTTTCTTACTTAGGCAGTACACAGAATTAGCATGTCTTGAAAAAAATTCACACAATCAATAATAATACCAAAATGTCTCCCTAACAACCTCTCTAGACTATGAAGTTACTAATGTGACAAAGGTTGATTTTCAATACAATTTTGACTGGCATGCGAGTTGTCAATGTAACAGGCTGCAGCACACAGACAGCTGACATCCTATGTAGTGCTGACCTTGCCTAAAGACCCAGGAATAGAAAAAAGATGGACTGAGGCTGAAATCAACCAAAAGCTGACCTCCACAGCCAATTACTCAGGCTTCCTTTACTAGACTTCTGCCTACACTGCAAATATGATGGAAGATAGCAGCCTTAATATTTTTGGAGTCCCATAATACAGAGATGGTGAAGGAGCCTGCATGCTCCCACTGCGAAGCCCAGAAATAAGCGTAACGAGGCCAGGCCAAAATTACTGACTCTTGTCCTTCACCATTACCTTTCTTTTTAATGCCAAGTGAATACAACAGATTTACTCTAAGAGATATTCTGTTCACCAAGATAATTCACACTGGCCAGCAGCTTACAGTATTCCGGGTTCCCATAATAAGAACGTCAATCCTTGCTAAGAGTTTTAAAATCATGGCTGAAGTTATTATTGGATTTTCCTACATAGAAACTAGTTAATTTGTTTTGGCAATCACACTGAATTATTACCTCCTACTTCATCATACAACAGGGAAACCTTCTCAGAGATCACATTTTTGAGGAAATACACAGGAAGCTCTACATGTTTTCTTTAGATAATATTACGAAGATCTCCAGAGCAGCTTGATACATGATTCTTCTTTTTTTTAATGGAGAAAAATATGATATGTCAGTATAAAAACAAATACCAGTGTTAAGGTAGCTAGGTGTTTTTCTTAGGAAACATCTGAATGTTTAATTATTTCATCCATGCAACAACACATGTCATTACAGAGAATGCATGCCAAGCTGTTCTGTCAGTTTAGAATTTAATATGCTCTACTGCAGGTTTACTTTTATCTTGCTTCAGCCATTATTGTCAGAGACAAAGGGATAATAAATAAATTATTGTTGTGGTTTTAAAGCATTAGCTAAAAAATCACTAGAAAATATATTCATTTCTTGTGAGATATGGATTAGAAGAAGGGCAAAACAGGCTTAACACTTAAAAGGAATAAAGAAAGTTTATTAACAGAACTACAAGAATAAGAAACCAGAATAAAACCTCCAGAAACCCTCTTTCCTCACTACCCAACCATTCTCTTGTTCACATGACAACACAGAGACAAAAAAAGCCTGGTGGTTAAAACAATCTCAGCTTTGCTGTAGTCTTTTCATAAGACTTTGTAGAGAAAAAGAAGTTGTCTTTTCTTAATCTATGGAGTTTTTCACAAGAAAACCATTTTCTCATGGCTTTCTATTTTTCTGATGCCAGCTGCCCGGACAACTCTGCCATCAGTTCCTTCCTCCCATTTCACACCACTCTGAGGTGTGTTCATGGGCCATGAGTCAAAAAGGGGTGTCATTTTAAGGATGAGTTATTCAAAGCCAAAAGTTTTCTTCATCTGTCTCTGTGATCATCTCTGGAGACAGAAGTTTTCTCTTTGTCTCTTAAAGGCTACAAATCTTCAACAACTATCACTTCCTTTTTCTGTTCCAGCATCTCATAGGATCACATCTACTTCACCATTTGCTTAGATCCACACTTTGAAATACTCCATTCCCCCCAAATTATACTTTCATGAATTAAAGGAGTTTTTTTTCAGAACATTATTGTCCATCTCCATAGTTTTAGCAAAAGAATATTTCAGCTTATTAAGGCATCTCCTTCTCTCCCCCATCTGAAGCTTAATTATTTTCTTCACTGTCTTTGATAGTCTATGTTGTCCCTTTACATGTTGATCACTCACTCTTCTCCTCTCTCTGGAAAAAGGATTAATCTGCAAGTCTCATCTGGGTAGTGAAAGGGTTAAAGTCTTGCCCAGGCCTTGTGGATGGTCTCATGATCTCTGCTGGAGCAGCAGCTGGAGCTGTCTGTGATAGAAGATTTTCCATGGCTGCTCTGGGGAGTGTGGCCACTATCTCAGCATACCGCAGGCCAATGGCTTTCCCTCCCCTTACTCGGCAGTCTCTGGTGAAACTCAGCAGTGGCAGAAATTGCAGCCGAGCCAGGGACCAGCCTGGGCTGGCAGCCCTGCTGTACAAGGCCCAGTGAGCCCTCTGGGATGGGGCTCCTGACACTTCACAAGCTCCATCCCCCCCTGGGAACTGCAGAAGTCCGGCCAGCCCCGCTCCCCCTGTGGCCTTGTCCGGCCTGGGAGGGAGGAGGAGGCTGAACCGGAGCTCTGTTACCTCTTCAAAGCCGGAAACCAGAGAGAAAAAGAAATTCCTGGGCTTAGGTCTTAAGGTGGTGTTCACAGGTTGATCTCAGTTTTCAATGGTCAAAACTACTGTCAGTTCTCAGAAATGGCCAGTTATTGGCCAGGAGAAAAACTCCCATCAGCCTCCAGCAGCCTTAACTTCCTTAGGTGTTTCCCTTTGTTTCTTAAATGACAATCCATCACAATTATTTATCAGTGGAGGTGTCTAGTCAATTTTCAGGTTTGTTCAACATTCAGTCTCAGGTGGAACAGTAAATGTTTACTGGAACAGTAAACAGTTTCCTCTGACAGGTCTTGGCATTGCAGTATATTTCATTACATTCCCTATTAGATTTCAAATCTGAATCTCCATTAATGAGAAAATCGGATTAAGTGGACACATGATGATAGATTATACTTCCACTACAATGATTCTTTATAAGGATTATTTCATTTTATCATCAAATTTCATGAAAACAACATTTTATAGATAACTTAGAACTTTTAACTGAGTTACCACTGACAACGTACATACAAAAACTAGGCATCCAGTCTATTAACTTATTAAAATTACCTGTGCATAGAGTTTGAACTTGCTGACTTCAGAAACAAGATACAGTTTGGCCTCATGCTGTGCAGAATTACAGCCCTCTCCATTATGCTTTTCGTTTGCTTCATCTTCTGGGACGAAAGCCAGAGCAGAGCACACAAACTGCTCCAGTGTCTCTCCTGTGGGAATCTGGCAAAGACAAAAGCAATTGATGAGTATTTCAAGTGCGTTGCTGCGTTATCTCTCCTATCAACTTACTTATCTAGTGAAAATAACACATAGTCTCTTCAGCAAGAACAAAGCCCTTTTAACCCAGCCTCATATTCCCAGGCACATAATTCAAAGTACTCCACATGCAGGTTGCTGTATAAAATACAGTGGCCCCATTAAGCTGCTCATACAACGGTCAGAATGATGAGACTTGTATATGCAAGGAGTTTTCATCTTGTAGGTACACTATTGTTCCTACTTGTACAATAATTTTCAGGCTGGTGCTAAACTGACTTGACTATGATACAGTACCCCTACAGTAGAATAACTATATTGAAACAACTTCACAAATATAAAAATTAGTGATATAAAAAGCACTTAGTACAATGATACATCTCAACCAGTGACTACATGCAGCAGACTAATTTTAAATCAAGGTTGGTTGGTTTCAAGAGAGTGGCCAAGAGAACGGAATTTTTTCCTCATAGACTAATTTTTAAATTCTGTGATGAAAGATTAAATAGTCCCAAACCTATAAATACTATTAAAGGTCACAATAATAATGCCACATATTTTAATTCTGTTATTGCCTTTCTGAGATACTTTACATCCTTGCTCCTTTCAACTTTGACCAGAGAATTCATACAAAGTTTTGCAGGTGTTTTGACACCAAACAAAATGGGCCATTAGATACATTGCCTGAAATAAGCATTATCCAGGCTTCCATATTTGTTTTCATAGTTTCTGATAGTCTTCAATGTTCTAACATAAGCACAAAATACTGAGATGCTAGTTAAAATAGTTAGCAACTGAGCAGCTTGGGATTTCGTAGTCAACCATAGCTACCAAGATGCAGTTGAATTCAATTCATTTGATCAAACAGGCCACCACTCACATTTCATTAAAAAGCCATTCAAAAGTCAAGGGTTTTTTTTATAATTTACCCATTTGTTTAAATCAGCTATTTTTACAATGAGCTCTTCTAGAATATAACCCTAAATTTTACTGCTCTGCAAAGAACAAACAGATTTCACATAAATACCAACATATTCCATTAAAGAAACTGTGGACCTAAGTACAAATTCAAAAGATGTTTCCAGTTTTCTTCAGTTCAAACCAGACCACCACAACACACCACTTTGGGCTAGAGGACAGGTTAGAATGCACTATCTGAAGAAAGATTTTCTTGTAATGTGATGCATCACCAGGATATTTGATTAAGCACCACTGAGACAACTCAGTCTAGTATATTCATATCAAGATGGAAAAACTGAAAAGAATGGACTCTTGGTCTCCCTTAATTTATACACAGAAGAGACAGGCATTCTTTGTCCAGCAAAATTAAAAAATTATACCAGACAAGTTAATCCGGACAGACTCAAATCAAGGATTTGGTTTAAAAGATTAGCGGAGCAATCCACAGAATTCTCTACAGGACTGGAAAATAAACTCAGGACTCTGCCATACACAGTTGTGACTTCAGAGAAGCATAAATTCATTAGTATACACAACTAGACCTATCAGTATCTTCATGTGCAGAGATTTCAGCTGAAGCTAAATACATTCACTGGATGGGAATGAAGCCAGGATATTTAACAACCTTGTAGCTTTTTCACAAAGCTAAGCTTCTGTAATACAGGAAAATAAATTTAGGGTTCAAATAATAAAAAAAAAAAGAGTAGGACACCAAAATTTTCAACTTATTTACCGCTGTTAATTGGGCTGTATAACTTAGCAGCTTCTCAACACGAGGGCCATCAAAACCAAACCTAGATTCAAGTTCTGCTTTCACAGCAAGCAGATTCGACAAAACATCCCCGAGAGAAAGATTGTATTGAAAACCTGAAAGAAAGGGAATATTTTGTTTATGTAATTATTTCCTTTTATTCATGCTGTTTCTTGGTGGTTCACACTTGTTGAGATCCAAGTACCATGTTCCCAGATTTTCTGGGGGCAGCAGGATGTGTGCACCTGAACACCAATCTACCTAGGATAAAATCCATGATTACACTAGTGGTATAGTCAGTTAACGTGATGACATTTCAGCAGTCGATATGGTTATGGTGGGATGCCCCTGCATAGTGATTTCCAGCAAACTCAGTAGGGTGCCATTCTGAGCTCTACAGAGTCATGCAAAGGTGTGTGTATGGACTGGATGTGAATTACTACTGAGATTAAGAGCAAGTGGAGAATACCAGGAGTTTCAGAGAAATCAAGTTTATCCTCTGTGCGAGGGCTCCCAGCATGTCACCTTTGTCCCACATCAGCCTTCATTTTTGCAGGTGAAGTGGGATTTGGACTGCATATTACTCTAAGCCTGACCTTCCATACCAAGCAGACAGCTGCACTGTGTTTCAGTTTGCCCATTAAACTTGCTTCTGACCTTTTCTTGTTTTCCTGGGGCCAGCCTACCTTTTCCAATTAAACTCATCTTCCATAATGAAGCAGCGGATGGAGAAATATAACCCTTTAGCTGAGAGCAGAATTTATGAGAACAGAGGAATGAAGCTTAAAGTAAAACAGTCATAATGCTTAACATGCATGTCCAAAACAAAATGCTCTCCAATCAAATGGAAGAAACTGTCCCTTGAAAAAAAAAAGTGTCCCCCCTCAGACTGACTCAGTCTCTTTCCAAAATTCATTACTGAAAGACCATTCTAAACACTATGTACTAGACCAGTTTATCTGATGTTTTGCTTATCTGATAGTTGCCAGAGCCTTATAATATTTAGTTATTAGTACTGGTATTTAAAAAGCACATCAGTAAAAAACTGGGTAGGCACTACAGCAATATAGTTTAGTCCCTACACATCAGGAACTTCACAGAAAGTCCAACAGTCACTATCATATATTTCCAGCATGCTAATGAGGTAGTTCAAAGAAAATCTGAAGAAAATGTCTTACCTTTTAAGCTCCTATCATGTACTGATGCAGCAGTCAAATTCAGTCCCCTTTTCACCACTTCATAGAAGCTTTGGCCCAGTGGCATCATAGCTAAATCTTTCAGTGATGCTAAGATACTGAAAGTGGAAAATAAAACAAAAATCAAGCTCTCTATACACCCAAAAACCTGAAAGGACTTGGTGGAAAGGGACAACCTTCAAGCAACAGAATAATAAAACTTTTTTTTTACTGTTTTAAAACCAGTATTTTATAAAATTAGAGTTTAAAAAAAAATAAAACACAAATTAAGATTTTAAAGTTAAAGTATCAGTCAATTTCCATTAAGGAAATGTGTCCTGAGAGGACCAATGAACTCTTAAAACAAAAAAACAACAACCAAAAAAAAAAAAATTTAAAAAAGCTGCAGGGAAAAATAAGAGTAAAACTACCAGAGACATTCTTTTTTTATCCCCACAAGAAGGCAGGATCAACAAAGAATACTTATATTTTACTTCCCTCCAATGTGCAGGAAAAATATTTTTAAAGCAACATAATGCTTATTCTCACAAGAATTTAAACAAATTGCATTACTGAATGCATTGATAAAATATATCTATTGAATTTCTTACTAGTCTCTGTCACCTTAGCTGTGAAAAAATTTCCCTGTTAATGTAACTGTAACTTACTACTTAAAATTTATGTCAAATTTACTAATTATTTCCCACAGAGTAATCCTTTTTTATGATGCAAATAGGAATCCAGTTTTCCAGAGTGGATCATCTGTTTGAATGAAAAGAATAAAAACAAAAAAAAGAAAAACCAACAACAAACCACACCAACCACAAAAATCCAAAGCCAGTCACATAGATGTGAAGTCTCTGTTGAGTATCTCTGAGAGATGCAACAAACATGGTACAGACTAGAAAGTGGGAAATGTAAATCCAGAACCTACCTAAATTCTATCTTAGAAAGGACCTCTAGAATGTAGTATAGTAATGTGAAACTAGTCAAGAAACAAGCATTGGGGTTTTTGTGGTTTGCTTTCCAAATTGCATTAATGAGGGTAAATTGGGTCACTGAAGGGAAATCTTAAAATCCCCAAGCAAATGGAAACACCAAAACCCATACGTAAACATTTGAGTCTCCTGTGTAGTTTTGCATGTTAATACCTCAGAGAACAAGCTGGAATAAGGTTACAAATTACTCGGGCATAAGGGAAAAACAAATCAGTTTTGAAAATCAAGCACCAATATAGGTGCAATCCGCATATTGTAAGAGAGACTTATTTTCCAGTTTGAAAAAAAGTTATGTGATCATATCCTTCTTATCTGCGTGGGGAGCTATTTTTGTTGTTTTTCTTTGGTTTGGGTTTTTTTAAATTTAAAATAAAAGACAGTGGAATGATAAAGAATGGCAGAACAGCACAGTAATTTCTTGGTCATGATCTTAGGGCCCCTGCTTCCCCATGGCCTAAGGCTGGTGAGGTACATGGCCAGTCTTGCACAGGCACTCAGGTTTAGAGGGCTTCTCTTGCTTTATAACTATGTTGTTTGACTAAAATGACAATTGCCTATCAACCTGTATCAACAAACTGCCTACCCTGGCAAACACATATCTAACTTTCACCTAACAATTACGTTATTTTACTTTACCTTACCTTATTTTACTACATACATTTTACTTATATCTACAGGAAAATTCCTGTAGATATGTGTCTTGGTCTATGCTTTAATTCTATGTCTTCCTCTGAGTTCAACTGTCCTTTACCTGATTCAGAATACAATCTCTGGGAACTCTTTCTTACTGCTTCATTTCTTGCAAGAGAATACCTAAAGCTATTTTGATAACAAGAGGCTTATGAAACAAAATTGAGTAATTTTCCTGATGCTTACCAAATGTTACATACATTCAGATCTGATTAGGATCAAAATTATTATTTTCTTATATTCATATGTATATGTTCTGTCTTTCAAAGACCTCCAAAGTACATTACAAGTTTCAAAGCCATATTATGTGATGGGCTAATTTCAGGCATTGCTAACATTGAGCTGCTTATCAAAGACTCCTAGGGCATTACTGTTGAGTTTAGTAGAAACAGTAAAACACACTTATAAAGGAATTAGTATGGGTGAAAACTCCTAACACAGTTTTATAAAAAAGCAAAATCTGGTAAAGAGAGAATTTTAGCCTCTTTACACTATTAAGGATGCTTATTTTATTAAGTAGACAGTAAGAAGAACAAGAATTGCAGATAAAATTTTGAATCAGAGCACTTTCAAGAATGTGAAAGTACTTACTTTTGAATAACTTTTAGAAACTGTGTTATGGAAGCTAACTCATCTTCTGTATAAAAGCTGTTCATTTCAAGATGAGGGAGTGAATGCAGAAGGTTCCAGAAATATGGTTGTTTGTACAGATTTTCTGCTCTAGAAATTATTTTCTCTGCTTCATTCAAATCCATCTTTAGGTGGAAAAAATAAAAAAAAAATTACATGCAACACTTCCAATAACAGAAAAAAGGAAAAAAAAAAAAAAAAAGCAAGCAGGTGCCTGTTATTTCCCTGACACTCTTGAATTCTTGAATTTTAACCCATTCAAAATATTTTTTACAAAGTGGAAACATACCTCTAGATTTGGTAATATACCATGTTATTTTGGTGGTATTTTGAGCTTATGGAAGCTTTGTTTCTGATACGTCTCTCTGATTTGATGGAAAAATAGAGCTGGAAGTAAAGCTAAAGCATCTCTCTGCTCAGAAGTGTAAGCAAAGGAAGGATTATCTTCGAGTTCTCAAGCACAAGAAACTCTTTAGCCCCGCAATGAATTTCTAAGTCTAGGGTATAAGGCCTGTCCAGGCCTTGCCATCCTTGCCTCACAACTCTTTGCAGGGCTTGTGGGGGTCTCAATAACTTATAAGAATGGCTTTTTAAAGATGAACTGCCTGGGACAAAACAATTTCTTTCATAGGACTAAACAGTTTGAAGGCTGTGCAAAACTCAGTTTTGCTTATCAGTTTAAGTTTTTTATTATAAAGTCTTTGCTACCTTAAATTAATGTCTCACTAGAGCTTTTCTTCACAGCAGTGACATGACCTTATACAAAAATAAGCTTGTGTATACAAGCTGTTTCTAATAATGATCATCTATTGTCAACTTAATATTTTCTTAATAAAGAATAAATACATTATTCCTATTCTACATTCCATTCCAGAAATTTCATATTGATGTAGCTCATTTCAATCAATGATCTTATGAACAGTTTTTAAAATATTATTATAAAAATGCCATCTAATTTCAATTTATAAACCGGAAATCTAGGTTTCATGAAGTAGCAGTAACAATCAAGATGCACTTTTAAATTACTCCTAATAAGTAAATACCCTTCCAATAGTTGTAGAATTTAGCTACAAACAACCTAGATTGGTTTAAATAAGTAATCTAGAAACCACTGAACATCTATCAAATTTAAAAGACATTATTTTTTTCCTTCAAACACATTTAAGATAGTTTACTTAAACATGACAGGATACAAATTTCTAACCATTATAATGAAGATGCCTCAAATGCTAGAACTGTAATTTAGAAATAGATTAGAAATGTAAATGTAATCTAGAAATAGATAGAATGTAAAAAATACTTACAGTAAGAAAAGTTGTGATGTTAGGAAGCCCTGTAAAATTAAATATTTTCCTTTAAAGAAAAGCATTATTAACTTTAGAAGAATAAATATTATAAATAAGCAAGAGCAAGCAGCGCAAAAAGGATGTTTTTAGAAAAGTAAAGGCACAAGAAGCAACTAATATCCCAAAGATAGTGGTCCATTTGATTTTCTGTGCTTCCCAATAGTTTTATTGTAATCACAAAACCAATTTAAAATACATTGTTTACTGTTCAATTTTTTAGTGAGGCAAAATCATCATATCAACACTAGATGAATGTCATAGCTACTAGACAGCCATGCATGAAAACTACAGTTTCACCTAGATTTTTCTCCTTGAAAACTCAGCCAGAGACATAGGGTAGTGGGAGGTCTTCAATGCCCCCCTGTTACAGCAAAAAGGCTGTGCAATATGGGTGGAAATGGGACAGGAGACTCAGACCTTGCTATTTCCAGTCTCACTCTTCCTGTGCAAGACTGAAGGTCACCTAAGGTCAGCAGGTTTTCCTGCTGATTTACTGTTTTCCATTCCTATACTCTTTAGTACAACAGAAAAATATGGGGAGGGAGTTTTGAATGCACAATAGACCAAGTAACCTTGTACTCTGACTATAATCCTTATCTTTTTAGCTTTCCTCTCAGCGTTTTCATAATTCTCAAGTATAGAAGGGAGCAGTTTTAGAAAGCCACATTTTTTTTCTGATAATTTTGATGGCCACAGTGTTAGTAATCATGAAAGTTGGGGTTTTTTTAGATCAGCTAAAATTTTAGTTGCATAATTTTATTTTTAAGGTCAAACTATTCTTTTGTTTGATGGCTGTCATTAACCAATAGGCAAAGAAATTTATTTTTAGAAAAATCACAGCTTACCTGAGACCCTTGAGTTTTCTTCCCATAGCTTTTCTAAGGCCATGGCTTTCTCTGTAGTAACAATAAATTCCTTTGCAAGTTCTTCTATCTCTTCCATGAAGTCTAAATCAGATGCAGTGGCTCTCTCTGGACCTCTTTGAGGGACGGCACTATTTTTTGACATAATGACAGAAGGGACAGGTGAGGTAACACACTGAAATCAAGTAGTTGGAAAATGTGTATATACTGAATGCAATATTATGATTTTTTTTTAAAAAAAATTATGCATTTATACAATTTCTCTTTAGTTCAATTCACTAGCATGCAAGTTTCAGCACTGAGTCTCAAAATCTGAGGAAAATAGGCATTGAAAAATTGCAGAAGTCACCTACGACAATTCTGGCAGCAGCCAAGAACAGACACATTAAAAAAGTCTTTAATGTTTCTGAACACACTCAGCTCTTCTCCCCCAGATTATCATGTGTCCTGGTGTCAGTGCCTTGATGGGAAAGTTCAAACTTTTCTATTGCAACTAAGGTAACAATTTGTTTTTTCAAATACATGCTGTAATGTAGAAAACCAGTATTTTATTCTTACTACTGGCTTTTTCTGGATTTTAGCTTGCAGACATACCACTGGTAAATGTTGTCTCTCTTATCTCTATCACATTGCTATCTGGTGAATACTCAATAGCACAATTTTCTAACAATACTTTTAAATTAAACCAGAAGTCAGAATCATTTAAATGCTTCTTTGCAGGACAAAATTACTTAGACCATCCTAAAACATCATAAAAAAGAGAATAATTATATTTAGCATGTTACTATGCAGTTGCATTCTGTTTCATCTTCTAGGAGATTGGAATTATCTTAAGAGCTACATCCTGTCTAGCAAAAACGTTATTTTGCATTAAAAACACAGTTGGCTGTCACAGAATCAAAGAATAGGTCAAGTTGGAAGGGACCACAATGGTCATCTGGTCCAACCTCCCTACTAAGCAGGATCATCCTAGAGTACACAGGATTGTGTCTAGATGGTTCTTGAATACCTCCAGTTAAGGAGACTCCACAGCCTCTCTGGGCAACCTGTTCCGGTGTGGTCACTCCCGCAGGAAAGAAGTTACTCCTCATATTCAGGTGCAACTTTGTGTTTATCAGTTCTGCCCATTGCCTCTTGTCCTATCCCACTTTGAAAAATATAATAAAGAGTTGCATTCCTTTCCTGTCAAGTCGTTATGCCAGTACTTGCTTTCAGCACAATTTTTCCTTATTGAAAGTAAAGCCTAATGAGACTAATTCACAAACCAAAGAAAGCTATCAGCCACCACTTTCCCATTCTCTCATTTCTTTTTCCTTCCCTCTCTGACCCTCGTTTGTTCAGACATCCACAGAGCTGTTTGCAACGTTAGATTAAGGGAAACAAAGAAAATGCAATCTTAAAACATTCAAGTTCTCAGTTTTTTCAGTACAGCTAATTTTGATCCCAACTTGGCCAACAAACAGTAAGATTTGGGAAACACTATCACCATCCTCAGACTTCAGCAGGCTAAAGGCAGAACAATTCCTCAATACATATTTTTCCCTTTTAAATGGAGTTTTTAAAAGCAGATCTCTGTTGTTCAGAAGGTGGCTTTTAGGGTTATTAGAAGTTGCACTTTAGCTATTGTCTTTGAAAACTACCACATATGTTCCAATAATACTGGAACTCCCATGCCCAAAATTTCAGACAGCTGAGAATACTCATGTTCGGCAAAGAACTGAAACACTACCTACATACTGAAATCTTCCTAGCACTCTGCTTTTTGAGCATGAGCAAGAGGCCAGCACTTGACCAGAATAAAAACAACCACATTTGGTTAAGACATAAATCCAATCAGAACTTTGAAAAAAACAAATATCTAGCTTATTTTCCATGGGATTTTCACACAGAATTTGTGGTGGGTTTTAACTCTAGCTAAAATCACCAGAGTACTTATTCATTTCTTGCTGTGAGATATGGATTAGGAGAAGGGCAAAACAGGCTTAAAACTTAAAAGAAATAAAGAAAGTTTATTAATGGGACTACAAGAACAAGAAACCAGAATAAAACCTCCAGAAACCTTTTCTCCCCCCCCACCCAACCTTTTTCCTTTCCCAACTGACAAGGATTGGAAAGACTATTTAGTTCAATTCACTAGCATGCAAGTTGCACCACTGGGTCTCAAAACCTGAGGAAAATGGACATTGAAAAATTGCAGAGTTCACCTATGCCAGTTCTGGCAGGAGCAAATCCAAGGAATAAGGCACAGCTATTACAGAAGAGAAGGCACATGTGCAACCTAAATACCCATAGAAATGCCACTGTCCTAAGTACAAGTATCTCAGTGGTCCAAGAGCAGTTGTTTGGATATGCTGGCTGTGAGCTATTAGCTTTGTGGGGATTTCCAGGTCAGCAGCCATGCCAGCCAGCTGCTATTTGTGACCCTTTTTTACCATCATTGCCAGAGACCTTCCTGAGGTTATTCATGGATCTGAGAACAGCCTCTTTTTGAAGGGGAAATGGCAACAGGTATGCCATTGGTTATCATGCTCAGTTTTATGAAAAAGAATAAAGTATTACAGAGATCTCATTTGCTGAATATGTGTGATAAGATTAAAGGATTTTATATATTTTCAAAGTGGTAATAGAGGACCACATTTGGCTCCTAGTAAGAGTGCTACAAGTCACTACTGATCTCTTAATTCAGCACAGGTTACACAAAATTACAGGAAGATGTCAACATCTGAAAGATAAAAACTACACTTCAAAACCAGATGCAGAGACAGTCAAAGCAAACAATTTTCAGACAATGTACCAACAAAAATACTTAATTGTTGTACAGCTACTCTCCAAAAGAGCCTTGAGTGTGTGCTTTCTGGAGCAGAAGGCAATGTTAACGCACTTGCATATGCATAAAGGAAGTCCAGCAGCTCCAAGGAAATTCCTTAGCAGCAGTTGCTAGGAACAATAAAGAGGGGAAGCAAGGGATAATAAAAAGGACAAAAGGAGGAAGCTAGTAATTTGTAGGAGAGGATATACATAATTAGAATTGGGGTGTTAGAAGAAGGAGTTGGGGAATGTTTATATATAAAATTTCCTTATCATCCATGGTAGCTCTTCCCTCAACTGTATGTTTCCACAAACTTCATGAGAACAGAAATCAAACCAAAGACATATATTGGTACAAGCTTTGACCATGACAAAATGCTGAAAAAGAGCAAAAAGACTGCATCTCTTTGAGCATTATTTCTTAAAGCCATGACTCAGAAACATTAATTCTGTCCAGTTTACTCAGTTACTCAGGATGACAATAAGAACATTTCAGAGTTCATCTGAGAATGCAAATATGATGTGAAAAGCTATTTAGACCAGTGATTTTCATAAGCATCCCAGCAAACTCGTTTCAACCTCATCCCTGTCACCACGTTAATAATTTTTCTCTAAAACTGCAAAGCCCCAGCTGGCTTCCATTCTGCACTGTATCAGTTATAAGCCTGGAGACATCAATACCAATACACATGCTGGACAAAAACAAGCTGTCTGTTTTTCACAGAAAGATCTTTCTCTTCTATGTTGATACAATTATAACCTTCCTAAATGCAAGGGACCTAAATATATAAAGAACTAAAAAAATATAGTCTTCTTAATTTGCTCTAAAATGAAGAAACTCCATGTTTAAATTTCGTTTTCTCCCCAACTCTCCAGCAAGCTATAAGCAAGGTCACATAAATTGCTTCTATTTCTGTTTTTCAGTTACACAGCCTGGAACTACAAGCTGGCCCAGACAACAGAGTTAATATTGCAGTAAGTTGCTGCAGCCATAAGCTATCTTGAAGAACTATTTCTCATTTGAACATACACTTCATTAAAGAAAAATCTGACCCTTTAAGAAATTCTTACACAATGACTCTTGCTGATGATTAGACCTTCCTTGATTTTTCTCTTCTATACCTGCTCTTGTATGTGAGCTCTTCAGATGCCACTCCAATCGAAAGCCCAGGCCAGGTATTGATAAAGCAAAAGGTTTAGAACATTAGGAAGAAAGGGGCTGGTGTGAGTAGACCTGTCCCAGGAGGGGGCCAAACTAGGAGCTGAGGCAACCCTGGAAGAGTACATGCCCCCATCAACTGGACACTGTCCCCCAGGACCCCAATTTGCAGGTAGACACAGGTGTGTATTACAGGCTCCAGAAGCAACCCTAACAATGCAGGGTGAGCCCAGGAGCCCAGTCAGGTGCAAAAGGAGACAGAGCTACTACATGAGTATGGGTAGGTGGGTAGCTCATCCAGAAGAAGTGCCAGAGACAGACCTGGGCTTCTACCACAACTACTGGGTGAGGCTGCTCAGGCTGCTACTACTTGTAGCTAAATAAAGATAAATAAATTAATGTGCTTGGAAATAAGATTTTAGAGTCTTGCTTTAATGATATTTGTAGTTCTAAGTGTGAGAATAGCTTAACTTTCTCTTAGGTATTGAGAAGTCTAAAGTAGATCTAGGAGTCTAGACTGCAGGGACAAATCCCACTGTCCTACTGCCAGGGAATTCAGAGTATTGGCGAATCATGATGTTTCCATGCACATGCATGGAAATGTGTGGGTGTAAGGCCATAGGACCCTGGGCTGTGTGGTTTTTAGCCTAATTGCATATTCTCAGTTTTACACTGTGCTCCACTAAGATGAGGTGGGGAATGGAATATTCTGGAAAGAGCAGGGAAAAATGTCCCTTTCAATGGGAGGCCCTGAATACTTCCTTGTTCCTCTGCTCTGAGATACTAGTGGGTGCATCAGGCTAGGGAATCATTTCTGTGAGCTGCTAGCCAGCAGCTTTTGCAGTGGCTGAAAAGCAGAGCAAGAAGCAAAGCCACAGAGCTCTTGCAACTGTGTCAGGCATCAGAGGAGGTGGCAGATCTTGCTGCAAATCAAAGTTACTGTGGTTGTAGGCTTCACCTGGCTCATCTTCTCACCAAATCAAAGGCTGTTGCCTAAAGGGACAGGGATACATCTGTGAGGGCATAGGCTGCACCAAGAAAACTTCACCCTGGGCTTAGCCCACCCTCCTGGTGGGGGCTTCTCACTAACAAATGGTTATTGGTGGTTTATGGATTCCATGAAGGTTCCAACAGTAGTCATAGAGCTACTTCCTCCCAAAGACAACTACTACATTTAAAGCTGTTATCACCAAAGTGGTACATCCTGTGAAAACAAATGGTCAAGTGTCCATGCAAATTATGCAGTCTCTGACTTGCCCTTAATAAACACAATATTATTGACATAAAAAAGTGTTCCTTTATCAGACTTATGGTTTGATATAAATCCTTAAAGGGAAAATAAGTGGTATTATCTATTGGCATTGTTTCTATGCCATGCCATCTCTCCAGTCAACAGGGACAGGATTCAGTTATGTTTGACTGATCAAACTGACCATCTATATTCCTAAGGCTGTTGACAGCCAGTGTACGTCAGAGCAGCCCTGAGGCTGATTTAATTTATACTGACAGATCTGGTGGAACAGACTGACCTCAGAATAAACTCCATCCTACCTTTTTAGCCTTTTTCCTTACCTAGGCTATATGCTACTCAGTGCATAGCATGCACCTATTTTATTTTTCAGGTCTAAGACTGCCTCCAGGAAATTCTTTTCTGATTTTCTTTTGAGCTGGAATATAATTTGGACAGTTCTGTCAAAATGGTGCAAATAATCATGCAGAGCAGTCAATATAGTTCATACTTTCTATAGATTTAACACATTTAGATGGCATCTGAACTAGTGAAGTAAATAAAAGCTATACTTTTAGGGAACAATTTCTGAAAAGACAAGACCAACAGTTACTGTAACTCTGGAACCCAGTTATAGAGTATTGCTACTGCAAATAAGAGACTACAAGCTTTGTACTGAGTTTGAAAGACCACAGAACGAGTGGGCTTGCCACCTTTGATTTGCCTGAACTTGTCTTGGTTTTGGTTTGACTTGGGCTAGTTTTAACTTTTTTTAATTTTCCTGGCCAGAGAATTTTGCCTATTTATTACATTTTCACTTGTCATTGTATAACACCATCATAGTTTTATACAGATAGAACTAGCAGGTGACCATTCAGTGCAGAATAAGATATTTATGATTAACAAAGCAATGCAGAAGAACACAGGCCCAGTATTACAGCAGAGGCTTTGAGAGGTGGGGACAGAGGTGAACTGTGCTGTTAGTATAATACTTCAGTATCAGGGATGATAAGAGGTGGGGCAGAGACTGGCACTGAGGACCCCATGACTATAAACGAGTCACCAGTGTTCAGTAAAAATTCAGAGCTATAGCTGGACAAAGCCAATTTCTAAGTGTCAGGAAAAAATAACAGGTAGCTAACATATGTAAAAGATACCATATACATTCAGGTGTACCACATAAATTTGAATGTGTCCCAGAGATGCAGACCAATGGAAACAAAGTAAAAGCACACTAGTAAACATAAGTGACCCCAAGGACACCTTAAGTGAAAAAGAAGCCATCAACATCACATTCTTCCAGGTAAAGTACTGTATATCAGGACTTGCTGTAACAACCCCATCACTACCTTGTTGACATGACCCAGAGCAGCAATGTAAAGGTGAGCATAACCAAAGGGAAAAGACTAGAAACTCAATAGTCATGTAACAATTTTAACTCCATTAGTAGGAGGAGGTGAAGGAGAATTTTAATATGGGCATTTTTGTCTGTAAGTATCTTGAGTAATAATGCATGTTGACCAATAGTGGCTTAAATTGTTAAGATTTCAATTCTAGTAACAAATGCTTGCTTTATGTAGAACGTGTCCACATATAATTTTGGTGTCCAGCTTTACTCTCATATAATAAAACTCTCTAGTAAAGGATCAAAATATATTCTCACACAGAAGCAGCAAAAGGGAAAGAATATGACAAGGTACCTCTACAATTTTACCTCCAAAGAGTGTTCAGTATTCAAAATCAGCATAAAATACCCAAGAAATGTAAACAAAATTAGCAAGAGGTATGACTAAGATCTTACATATTTTGCAATCATAAGAACACCAAAGGAAACTTTTAGCACAGAATAACTATGTTCTTATTTTTCCTGTCTACAAGGCAGTGGGAACCTTTGCTATAAAAAGAGATCCACTGTGATGGTCGCATCTCTGTCAAATTCAAATAACTTACCTAAAGCGGCTGTGTCTCTGTGTTGTGTAACTGGTATTCCGACATCTTGAACCAACATTACAGAATAGGGTCTGCATGAAAGGATAAAGACCCCGACTTGGTAAATCACGAGCTTCCAAATAACCTAAAAAAACCAAGCAGCAGCAGAAGTAAGACCAGTAATGTTGCATTTGCAAACTGTACCATCACATTGTGTTCCCTTGTCCTAAAAGGCTTATTTGTCACCTGCAAGCAATGAAGTTGTATCAATATTAGGTGTTTCATTTAAGAAAAATTCAGTCATCACAGAAATGGGTAACCTCTGTGTCAGATTGTGACAACAATCCACATGTGACATTGACAAAAAGCAATCTTTGAAAAGCTGATTCTCCTGGTAGTAACATTATTGCAGTATCATGTGGTTGCTATCCTCTCTGATCAAAATCATGGATTGGAATATAGACTTCTGCACAAAGTGCTATTTCCTCTTTTCTCACAGGCTTTTGAAAAATGAAGGAACTGGTATTCAGCAATGTCTGAACATGCATCAGTCAAGACTCTCTAAACAGCCACTTTTCCACATCTCTGGAAATATCCATATCTCTCCATAAAGTAAATGTATACAGTGCAGGCTAGATTCTCTCCAGATATTTCAATGTACAGATCTAGAATTGTTTTACCAAACTGGTTTTTAATGTAGCTAAAGCTGGTTTATCCCTGTTTTACTGGCATTGATGAATAACAGAATAATAAACTGAATAGATTATGAAATATCATAAATATTTCTTTTCTAAATGAAGTCATATTTTGAAAAGATAAAAGCAAAAATAACTTTATGAGGTGGAGGGAGTTAAAACAAGTTTTTTAGTGTTAAAGGAAATGGAAGATTGTAACAAAATATCAATTCTCAATCCCAAGAAGTGGGTAGGGGTAAGGTTCATCTTGTCTAATTGTAAATATCCACCTCTGAGGCAGTTATCTAAACTATATTGCACAATAGAAAGCAATAAATACAACTAAAACCTAAGCAATCTCCCTTACTCCAAAACTGATGTTTAAATCTGATTGTCTTACCAATCAGATCTTAAACTTTGTATCTCTTTCCCACATAAATACAGCTTCCTCAGATCTGTAGCTGGACAAGATTGAACCTCTACTGTAGGACTCTTTCCACTGACTCCACTGCATTTAAGTCCCCCTTCTAGGATGTCTTTAGTGTTTGCTAAATACTCCTTCAAGTAGAGGCAACCAAAATAGAAGACAAATGAAACAAAACATACAGTTTTCCTTGTATTTTGGGGGCTCCTGGAAGCGGATGGCAGCTAGAATCAAAAAAAGTACACATGGCCACAGTATTTCAGTGAGAGAGAGGACCTGAAAAAGGAAATCAGAACATCATCAGTCTATAGAACACAGGGCTTGGGAACAAATCATTAAAATTCATGTGTCATTTAATTTAAAATAAAACCATTAAATATCCTCTCTACCCCTACTTAAGGAAAAATAAATTCATTAAAGCAAGTTAGCAACTGACACTTTTATTTGAAATCTGTATAACTTTATGAAATAACACTTCTTTCAGAACAGAAAAGTAGTTTTCATTTCAATTTATAGTGTTTGTAGATACTTTCTTCAGGTCAAGATAGACTCTGGCAAGGTGATGACAATGACCTTCAACTTTCCCATACCTGAGCCTCCTAAGTAATCAACAGCATTTTGCACTTTGCTGCTGTTTCTCATGCTCCCCAAGCCCTTCCTGGTGGCATACCTCTTTGTTCTTCCCTGGCTCCCTGGCCATTAAACCCTTCTGTCAACTGCACTCAAATGCTCTCCAAAATTGCCTTCAACATCTCCAAGAGGGAAGACCAAGTGAGATCAAGCTAACAGGCATGAGGCTGCCCACAGCTACACATCTTATATCCCAGTGTTACCATTTCCAAGGCCACAATGACAAGGCTCACAAGCCGATGTGCCACAGGACTCAGATTTTGAGTGTGTCTTCTCTGAGCAGATTGCATATATACAGTGCGTATTCATGCCTTTACAGAGAGGGCACAAACTCACAAACAGATTGGAAGCAAGAAAAAAACACAAAGAAAAGCAATTGTCTCAGTTTCCAGCAGCAGAAAGGAAGAAACAGCCATTCAGCCAAGTTTCAAAAGACTTCTAGACTCACTGATAACAGCATTAGGGAAGTGTGAATACGGGCAGAAACACTAGAAATGATAGCCATGCTGAAGATCTCCTATTAGAGGCTGTTAACTCCTCTGGAGCATACTGAGAATTTTATTTCTGAACTGTCAGAGTTGAACCAAATCCCATCACAGAAGTGATTCCTAAACTTGGGCACGTCAGAAAAATGTCTAAGAATTGTAACATAATGCTTAAGAACAAAATCCAGTGGCAGAGTTTTCTCTGTGGAGAAGGACATCTGTGCTGAACATGAGACAAGGTTTCCTGAAATTTAGGGAAATTGCCATTTATCTAAACTGATCACACTCAAAACAATACAGGAGCCAACCTAATAAAAGTGAGGATGGTGCTTTCAACCTTTTAGGGATCAGCAAGGGTTGTCTGCTCCCTAGGGTGCAGGGATCTGTGCATAATAGTGCCATCCAGCAGGGTAGGGGATCCACCCCCCAGGGACCCAAGAAGGGGAACAGGGCAAGACCTGCTAGCACAGCCAGCCTCAAACAGGAGTCCAGATCCTCTCTCAGTGTCACAGCAGGTCAAGTCAAACAGTGGCCAAGAACAAGGGCTGAGGTTGAGAGCAGTATCCCAGGCAGGAGCAGAGGGCACAGAAGTCCCATTTCAGCTGAGCCTTGAGCTGCATTGAGGCTGCCCAGAGCCATTAAACTTTGCAGAGGCCCAGAACCTTGACAGCATCCTTCCCTCCTTGGCATATTCATCCCCATTCCTCCTGTCTGGGGTCAGATGAAGGGCCTTACTGTGAAGCAGAGCCACTTCTGCAGAGTATCCATGGGCTCTCTATGAGAAATTGAGCCAGCTGCAGCAGCTGAGGGAAGGGACATTGCAGAAGAGACTTGGGAGGGGATGTCACCAGGCTGCCCAGGAGGGGCTGGAAAGGATCCAGCTGTCCCTGGGGGCACACAGTGCAACCACTGTGACCACACAGTGGCTAGGGGAAGGTCCCACAAGAAGTTCAAAGTGGGCTGTGGGAGACCAGAGCTTGAGGGGTTTATAGGGAAAGGCCCTGGACAGCCACAGGCTGGGCTCCCTGGTACCACCTCAGGGCTCAGGGCAAGCCCAGCTGTTAGTCAGGGCACAGTACCAGCCAGCTGCTCCCTGAAGGGCACCAGGGCCCTTATCAGAAAAGGCCTGCCCAGCAGTGCCCCCAACAAGGCAACAGGTTCTGCTGGGAGCCTGGATTTCCAGGTGGGCCAGGGCTAAGGCTGAGCCAGGAAGCCAGCCTGCAATGAGGGTCAAACAAACAGCCCTGCCATCTCTGGCACAGTTCATGGGAGGAAAGTACAGCTGGATAGGTACTCCTGCTCCTTCTGACAGGAATTTGGGATAAGAACTGAGAAGGCACCTGCAGAGGAAACAGGTTGGAGGACTCAATGAACCACCAGCATGCTGCAGACATTACACGTGCAAAACTGATCTTAACAAGTAAGTTTTTTGTTGTAAACATGGGAAAGTAATGCTGCTATATATTAAATATATAAATTATATGTTTATATATAAATATATAAACATATATTAAATATAAATATAAATGCTGCTGTATATATATATACTTGTGTTCAAATGGGAAAAGTGCCCACAGAAGGTCCAAAGAAAAAGTATTTATGAGATTGCAAGATTGCAGTTCTTGCACAGCTGCTTTGCCCAGGCACTGAAGGGAACTGGAGCCTGAGAGCACATGACATTCTGAGGAGATGCACCTGGGAGAAATGGTGAGTTTTGGTAGCAGAGATTTAGGACCCAGCTGATTTTAATTCCGATTGTCCTCAAAATTAGGGCATCAGAATTTAGTAATCACATTTCATCCTTTACCTAGCTACAAACTTGGATGGTAATAAACATTATCTAAATGATAGTTAAGAAATGCAGTAATGGAAAACTAAAGTAGTATATTTGTCTGGTAGTGTGTATCTTCTGAGCTAGAATCTGTAGTCCTGAAGTAAAACTTCTGAAAACAAATGAGAATGTGTCTTTGGCACAGCTGCAATTTCAAACTCCAGCAAGTCAAATGTACAAAAGAACCTGTCCTGCCTTTGAATCATTTTGGTAGAAGTTGCTGATACCAATCTGAATTACAGTCAAAAGACCTGTTCCTTACAGAACTCTTACATATGTCACAGCCTTTTTACTGCATAATACCAACTAATGCTACATGGTACTCATGACACTTTCCTAGTTCAACAGCCCTCACTCGTCTTCCAGCCCTACCTGCTGATAAATCACCATGAGAAGAAAATTGTGTTATACAGACAGATCTACATGATATGGAACAGAGCTGAAGCATATCAGATCTTTCAGGGGGTGCTTCTCTCTTTAGATTCACAAGGGTCTGATCATCTCTGCATAGGTGGATGATCCACCTGGATTTCTCCTCCAGGAACTGCAGATGGAACACCTGCACAGCTCACTGTTTGCACAACAGCACACAAGCAGGTTTTGCAAGTGCCCCAGGGCAGCTTCTGCCTATCAATAGACAGAATGAAGTTTGCTTTGGATCACCCTTGTAATTCCTGGCTTGGAGAAGTCTGCCTCTCAGTGAGTTCTCTACTCAGGAAATCTACCAGTTAGACAAACTAAAAACTTACATGGATTAAGATTTTTTTTTTCTTTCAGAAATATATGAGAGAACACTACACAGAACAAGAGCAGAAATAGATCCACATGCAGGAAAACAGGAGATACAGAGAAGCCATTTGATGCACACGGATGGAACATTCAGAACTGTTTAGGGGTGGAGAAGAATAGGACCAACAGCATCCTTCCCCAGAAGTATATTTTATATTAAAAAACATCACTTTCATTAATTTGGGGAATAAATTCCTCTCTGAGGAATTTTATTGAAGGCTAAATATTTCTGAAATGGAAAGGTGTGTATTTATTTAATTGAAATAATCCTATACAAAGCAACCAACATGCTTCACTGCAAATCCCCAGATCATTACAGAGAAGTGAAATCAGTATGAAACTATTAATTGAAGTGACCTGTTTTCCCACAAAAATATTCTCTCACTTGAGAAAATTCACTTCCTTCTATCCTAAAAAATTGTTTCAATCACAGTAAAGGTAAAAGGCATCTCATATCTAATTTTCATGATTTTAATTTTGACTTCTGTTGAAGTAGCTGCCACATTATTTTGCATATTGGAATTTGAAAGGTTTAATTTGGCTTTGGAGAGCAGTTAAGAAAGGAAATTTAGAAGTTTATATAATTGTGATATACAATACTTTCCCTGTATCTAGATTTTGATCATGCAAACTTTCTTACATTACCTATATGCACCTGCAATGTGAATAAAATTGATTGTCTCCCTTGCCACTGCTTACCAGCACTCTAGTATCTAATGCTAATTAAAAGATAAGCAGTGGCTCTTCAAAACTTCTAAGAAATTTGTCTCGTTTGCAAACTGCAGAGCATTGCTGTATTCAGTTGTTTTATAATAAAAACAACATGTTGTTCTCTACTTGTGTTTTCAAAAATTAGGTGACAAAAGGCAAAACAAAAACAACTTGCAGCTAGCCTGTCTTTAACAATCTGCAGTGAAAAGGAAAAATCGATAGACACACTCTTTCCAACAGATATTAAAAAGTTTTAAATATCCCTTTTTTAATAATTTCCAAACACTCACCGGTTGCCTCACACGGCAGAGCCAATTTTTCCAAAACAGAGCCTTGAACTGGTGTACAGCATGCCCCATATCTTTTCTTCATCCACTTGCAGAGTGGCTTCTTAAGGACTTTCTAACTCAGAATCATCTCACCAAGAAGTCCAAACGTATTATTCAGAAGCTGATTAATTCCAGCACTAGGGAATAGTTCAAGAGATTTGCCTGCCTCCTCAGAAAAAGATGAGATAATGTTTCTGCCTCTTGTTTTGCTGTTGTTGAGGAATCTCATCTTTCTGTTTTTCTTCTCAGTGCAATGAATAGTAAGGGAATGGGTTTATAGAAATGCCTTCAGGTTTCTTTACTCCACAGCATACATTCTTGCACTTGTTTCTACTTTTCTGGTATAAAAATGGATGCAAAAAATGGGGGGGGG